CTTTCACTCCAGACGTTCTGAAGTTGGCAGTGAGAATGAAATTGGTGAGGAAAATCTCATCGTTCCAGTAGAAGATAAAAGCGATCAACTATGGATCGATATTCTAACACAGGTCATTTAATAGTACAATAACCTTTAACCTGCATCATCGATCACATAAAACTAATGTGCTGGACAAAACATAACTGTGCTATTCTATTTGAAAAATCATTTCCTATTGTTATAATTGTTTGTCATTATTCTGAAATTCTTCATTCCTTAGGCAGTAGCACGATGTGGCAATAATCACGACAAGATTGTTAAATATGCACAAGCAATTGTTGAAGGTTGTTTAATAAGTAATTCCACTAGCATAAATTTAACGAAATACCTTTAATTTTCTAATGACATTAGTCTGCATGTGACAGGATATGAGACCAACAAAAGAGCTTATCAAAATAATGGAATAAATATCTTTGAAAGTAAGTAATATTTTGAAATAATTCATTAACAGAATCTCTTAAAAATTAAAAAACAGCAATAAAACAAAACGAACAAGAAATTGTGGGCTATGTAACACATTTGGAATCTCGTTGTTCATGTTAATTGTGCATTTCTAGAAGCAATGTCCCTCTCGTTACGTCTTATCTCCGACCAACGTTACTCAACAATTGAGGAAAGGATACAGTCAATGCAAAGTGATCCGGAAAGTCGATCCAGAGTGTGGAATGAAGCCAATATAGAATTTATCGATCAGCTCTATCAGAAATACTTAACAACAATCAGAAGCAAAGCTAACCTAAGATGTCCTGCTGTATCAAAATCTGTCCGCAATTTCTTTGCATTACATTAAAATCAGGTGTAATTCAATTTTCTGCTCTTAGCAGAGCAGAAAATTTCTCCAATACTTATAGCTTGACATACAGAAAGTGAGCTCTTCCGTGAACCTCATAATTTCTAGGTTGGTTAATCGACTTAAACTTAAGATCGAATACTGAAGGTATTCAGTCACTCCGTGCGAGAAAATCGATCAAAAGACTTCCCCAAACTATTTGCAGGTTATGACACTACATTTGCAGTATATTGAGTTCCAGAATATATCAAATTCACCGCAGTCCAAAACAATTGAATCATGTATCTCTTTATCTTTTTCTTTCCATCTTTCCTGACAAAAGAGACATGTACTCTTTCCCTTCATTATTTCGAAAAATTGGCACGAATTTTAAAAAATAAAGACTGCATAATTTTGAAGGGGCTGTTGACAGGTGACCACACAGTTCGACAAAAAAAAAAAAAAACGTATAGCAGGAATAATATTTTATACCGACTGTGTACCTATGATTTTCTCTACTTGTTTTATACGTTGACACAGTGACAGTTTTTACAATTCATTTAACAATTAGAAAGTTAATGAACAGCTTTGAAATATCATTATTAGAATCTGCATAATTCTTATACTCAAACTGACGAGTTAAAGAAAGGAATTGAAAATGTATAGAGCTTAAAAATAATTGATTAAAACTTTAAAGTTTAAATAAGAAAAGAAAAAGATGGGAATGCCTGAACCAAATAACAGCAGTAAAACTGTAAATACAACTCAGAAAAATAATGATGTATGTTCATGTAACGAAAAGTTAATAATTCGACAATCCTCTCAACTCTCCCTCATCCGAAGATGAACACTGAGCATATCGTTTTCTACCATACTTAATTTTTGGGAAATATTCTGGATTCATGAATACGCATCTGTGAAGATGCTCAACTTGGATTAAAAAGAAACATTTGAAAAGTCTTTTTATGTTTTACTTTTGTAACTTTTCCTAAAAAATTATTTCAGTATTCTTCATTGAATGGGAAGAAAGGATGGTCTGCATCTCTTGAAAGATCTAGAATACGCCAATTTTTATCCAAGCCATTGATCAGTGCCATATCATCGGGTTTGAGTTCGAAGTCGAAAATCTTGACGTTTTCAATAATTCTCTTCTCAGTCACTGATTTCGGGATAACAACCAATCCACGCTGGATACCCCAACGTAGCACTACCTGAAAAAATAGATAAAATAACTAAATAGTTTTTTTGAAAAGTTATTTAGAAGCCTAGTTCGTTACTTCTTCCTCATTCTGAGATTATTGTAAAATCATGTCAGTGGTGAAGTACAAGACCCAGTTTATAGAAGTTTTATAGAAGTTTCCTTATTTCAAAACCTAACTTTACATCTAGCAAAATGAAAGATCTTTCCAACTTGAAAGTTTGACATAAACGGTTATAAAAAGTTTAAACACCAGAAATATAATTAAATCAAGACAGCCTTTTTACAGATATTCATAATTTATTTAAAAACTTAAATCACCATAAAAAACTAAAAAAAAGTAACAAAAACGGAATGTCTTACCTGTGCTGATGACTTGTGATACACTTCCGCAAGCTTAAGAATAACGGGATCATCAAGTAAGACAGCATCTGTTGCTTTTCTGAATGGCATCGCGGGATTGGCTAGCGGACTATACGCAGTCATTACTATTCCGTGTTCCTGACAGAAACTGTACAGTTTGCGCTGTTGGAAATACGGATGAAGTTCAACCTGAATTTCGTTCAGTATTTATTAAAATTAATAATATGATTCTGGCTAATAAATAGCTATATTTATAGTTTGTTTTAAAAAACCTCTTACTTTTTAAAAAACTTCCTTAACAGTATATTTACTATATATGCCTCTTATATATATATATATATATATATATGATATCATTTGCCAATTTAATTTGAAGAGGAAACAGGAGCTTTAAACAGGCCTGCAAAACAGCCGGTTTGATGGTGCAGTTGTTGATCACTCGCAGAATCTGTTTGTGGTTAAAGTTCGACAATCCAATAGAGCGGATTTTTTTCAATTTTACGTACTCTTCCATAGCACGCCATGTATCCAAATAATCAATATTGGAATACTTCATTTTTTCGCCATCAGGTCTCTAAATCATAGCATATAATATCAGATGGATTTATACGTGAACAGGACTTTAAACAAGTTAAACGAATACCTTAAAATTACTAATTTTAAGATATTTTTAATGACAGTGCCGAAATAAGGAAAAATGGGCTCGCATTTCTTTATATATTTAACAATTTACACGAAAAACTTGGCTGTTCCACGGGAAATGAAAAAAGTACGACAAAACCTTGGGGAAAAATTCACCACTTTCTTCATATCCCTGTGGCCAGTGGATGAGGCATAAGTCTAGATAATCCAGACGAAGTTCACCCAATATGATATCTATATCCTTCTTGGCCATTTCATATGAATGAAAAGTATTCCATATTTTCGAAGTGACAAATACATCAGCACGCTGAAAACCTCTACTGCATATAAATAGCTTTGAAAATCTTGAAAGCTCTGGTTTTTACACCATTTTAAAGCAATTAAAATTAATGGTTTAGAAATGCTAGCATAACTATTTAGATAAGACAATATAAGCCAAGTGAAATTACGGCCAGCATAAGTTCTTGGATATAAAATCAGTGAAATAGAATTTTTTTTATAATCATTCCCACCTTCAGACTGCTCTCTTTGAAAACCTCAGCAAGAGCTTCACCCAGTTCAATTTGATTTTGATATACATGCGCACAATCGATATGTCTATAACCGTTGTTCAGAGCGATTTTAAGTGCTTTTCCAACTTGACCTGTCTTCGAAAGCCAAGTACCAAGACCAACAGATGGAATGTAATATCCTGAGTTTAATTTGACCAAGGATGTCATACTGATGGGATGTAAGATTTTGAGTTCAGTATGATCAAGGATATGTCATATGAAACAAATACCTGCAGATGAAATCAAGGTAAAAGTGGTGCAGAGTATCAAAAATTAAAACTGTTAAATATACAGTAAAAGACATCGGTCTGGGTACTCTGACCACAACACTAAGGCCACCTGCCCTTCAAGCAACAATACTATCAGTATCGATATATTCACACCCATAGATCGATCGATCTGGCACTTACCCCTTTGGGCTGCCCTTCCCCAACTCACATCATTCCCGGCAGTTGGGTCCTGCCTCTGTCACCAACCACTCTCACCGTCCCCACAATAGTCTCCCCTGAAAATCCCTCTCCGTCTCTTGCTATCCTTAATCATCCTTTGATAATGTCCATCACCATCTTTAAATCCTTACTGTCTCTCAAATTACCTTGATGTCTCCACAATCTAACTCTTACACTCTATCTACCCTTTCTATCGACCTTTATGATATCTCAAGGAATTATCATTGTTATCACCACCAGATAGAGACAAAATAATGCAGTGAATAAAACTTGGCACAATTCCAGCTGTTGTCGTTTCATTCTTGTGAGAGAGAGTGTCCGTCTTCTCGTGCATACTCCGTCTCCTACGTGAACTGCGCTTTATGCAATTCTCGGACATGGACTTCTACGTCAGTTCTCACTCAGTTTATTAGTTCTCTTATGCGTCACTTTACAATGCAAATTTTACCGTCCTTTAGCTAACCTTGCTCGTAAGTAATGATTCATGCATTGAATTCAATCTTTTTAAAAGATTCAAATTAACAGCATCAATAAGTTACATTCCACCTCTCTCATCTTTGATATTCCTCTATAAAGATGTCATCATTATCGAATTCAAAATAAACAGTCCATTCATGCTTTCTTGGGTCCTAGGTCCTTGTCATTGCTTTCCTACCATTTATTGTGATGTTGTTGTGACAGTTCTGTGTGTAGCTAATTGTGTGAGTACCAAATTGATAAGACATTCAGCGAAAGCTAAGTTTCTTTTCGATTCCCTATTCAATTACTTTTCCCTTACTTTTCAAGAGTAATTGGCATTTTCATCTTTTTTTGAGTGCTATAGCAGCAATTTGATTAGATGCTAAGTAGATCGAAGACTTGAGTCTTTGTGTATTTCTTTGTATATTTTAAAGAATTTTTATATTTCCAGGAGTGCTGTCAAGTACAGTTTAATATGTAAATAATTTTACTAACTCTAACATCCTATATCACGGCTAAAAAATAGCATGGCAGCAACATTAACCACGTGTTCACAATGTGTTACTTATAACGAACAGCTGAATAGCAAAGCAAACGAAATTAAGGTATCGGATTCAGTTTGAAATTAAGACCACTATTTGTACGCAGTTTTCACCATTTGAGATGCTTAACTTTTCAAGTGGGAAATTGAATTGCTGGACCTTACTAATTCACGCAAAACATTTTTCTATACAGTTAAGTGATTTTGCCTAAGAAAATCGGAAATTTTGATCTATTGAATATTTTGGTTTAAGCAAAATTCCAGCTTATGAAAGGATTGTTATATTTAAAGATCCAATGTACAGAAAGTAATTCTAATGGAAATTTTGCACTGAAAGCGCTTGATTTTTATATAGTTTTTATAAAATTTGCAGAGTCTGCAAGAAAATGTTCTAAAACTAGCTCATAAGCTGCAGGATGAAAGCAGAAGGAAGGAAGAAGTGCAGGAACGCCTGAACGACAAGCTAATCAGGCTCAATGATTATGCCATCAAAATTAGGGTCAGTAGCCATTCGGTTGCATCGTTCTGTCTAATTTTTTAGAGATTAATTAGTTTTTATCTGATAGTGATTGCTTCCACTTCATATCTTTATTAAAACGAACAGCGATGGTACGCTAATCTTCGTAGTGTTGTTGTTACATTCTTACAGCCTTAATTTTTCATCTCCTACCGTAACTGTGAGCCTTAATTTTTAACTGAAAAAAGATTTGGAAGAGAAAGTTCCCTTAACTGAAGAGAATTCTTTTCTCCAGTACAAAATTGAGACTGTACGTTAACAGATTTCAGGTGACTGCCTTTCATAAAAATTCCTGTCGATTTAAATAATATTATCTTTGAAAAAAGAAACTTTTTAAAAAGCTTCGGTAATTGAAGCATTCGCGGTTCGAGCATTTATGCTATTTTTATTTAGTTCGTAAATGTTCGCAAGTGTTCTTTAAAATGTCATGTCATCAAGTTTCATTTGTATTTTGATCTCTCACCATAATTATGAAAAATTAAAAATCATTAATACAAATAATGAACACTTTACAATTTATTCCCATGATTTATTCATTATAAGTTTCAAAAACAAGAAATCAAAGGTCAGCTTTGTAGAGTCTTGAGGAACAGTTGCAATCAGCAACCGATGGTCGTCCGATCAATGAACTCTCTCGCGCTGAAGTTGATAGTATCATTGGTCGAGACCTAGAGCGGATTCACTCACAACTAACCGAAAAGGTCAGCGAAATAAATTATTTCACATTCTGTACATGTGCGGAACGTGAACGGAAATTTTTTCCTTACGTTCCACCTTTCAAATGGAAGAAGGACAAGTCCATTGCACCTTCCAACAAGCGTCATAATTTGTGTTAGTAAAAATGCGCGAGTTTTAATCTGAAATGGAACATAACCCCTAAATATTTTTTTCTTTTTTCATTAACGAAGGACCTTTGCAGGATATGAAAATAATGGCATTGAATGATACGATACTTGAAAAAGAAGGGCAAATTATTGAACTACAAGAAATGTGTCGTGAACAGGGAGAAGTTGTACGAGCGAAAGCTAAAGCTTTCCAGATCATACAGCAAAAACTGCTGGTATTTTTAAGACCACTAGGGTTAATTTTGAAGCAACAAATGACTTTAGAGATGACAGACTATAATAGAGTTGAGGTTCGCCATCTTATTATTGCTCTGCACTGATAATCCATACATTTTTACTTTGTAAAAGATTTTCCCAATATCTAGGTGGTGGTTTTCATGCCTTCTACGATTATGCAGATTTCAGGATTTTGGCACACGAACGACACGCGAAGATTCCACAGAAACTGAAGCTGCGTATGTTTTTGAGTCCTCATTTACTTCACTGTCGTCATCGCAACAACTACTGAAGGAGCAACATCACGATTCCTTTTCGCCTGGACATGCTGTTATACATTTTAAAACAGGTTGGTTGGCGGAAACTTCGATTCATTTCAAATAGCTTCCGAGGCCAACATATTTCCAGATTTAATTTTCTGATGAAAAGGTTGATGTAAAGGTTACAACAAGATATTTAAACAAGGTTTTTTTATCCAGGTAGCTCAGCTTCACCTCCACCAATTGATCCAAGTGAGGAATGCAGTTCAGTAACCCACGATAACGGCAACATACAGGACGACCTTGATACTGACGATATAGGCTGTGCGTCCGCTTTGTACAAAAAGAAACACAGGAAGAAAGTGACTTTCGACTTGTCACCTCCTAAAGAATTCAGAAGTGGTACACTTTTAATCTAGATTAAAAAAATTTAATTTGCAAGAATGTCCAAATTGAAAATTCTGTTACCCAAATTTTATATGTTGAAAGTATGGCTTATACAGGAAAATATTTAGAAATTCCTAGATCACTCATTTCAGGTATTGGTCAAGAAGAAAGCGATATTACACAAGCATTTATTGATGTAACAGTTGAGAATGACCAATTGCGACAAACAATCCAAGAAATGGAGAAGTGTGCCAGTGATTCACAGAATGATTTGAGTCAGGTTATTCATTTTTTAAATCTAGCAACCTATCTCCTACTCGTTCTCATAATCTTTGAACAGCTTCTAACTTTACGTCAGTACCACTTTCACTTTCGTTTCTCCTGTGTTTCATTGTACAAAGCCGTGCCATCACAGCAGTCTGAGGCTGTTTCATTTCCCGGTGGTCGGAAGTCGTAGTCGCAGTTATTCAAGTTCCGTACTGTTCTCAGCTCTCTTTTTACCTTCAAAAATATCGACTTCTTCACTTTTCACATTCCTTTCGCTAACTCTTTTAGCGCGAAATTTTGTAATATAATTAATAGGAGTGTACTTTTTCTTCAGTTACAGTGTTCATTTCGTTATTTTAATTAATTAAATATAGAAGCATTTAAATTCTCAATTTATTGTGGAGTATAATTGAATTTAATGGCATATCACTTACTATTCACCTGATTTTCAATAGCCAATATTTAGCTCCAAGCACAATTAGATGAAATGCGTCGGGATAGCCGGAATCAAGTACTGAAAGCTCGTGCTTCTATGCAGGGAAAAATTCGCGATTTGGAAGATAAAATCTCTACAATAAACGCAGAAAATGCCAATAAGGTTACTTTTTATAAAGTTTCTCTCAAAGCAAAATTCGGAGGTTTTTTAGGAAGCATATTGATTTGACGAGAGTAAACTAACAAGGATCTGAAATAAGGCTTGAGGTCGTTCAAGCATGTAACACTTCGAAAACAAATTCGAAATTAATAACCAGTGTGTTTTAGGTCGAATATTTGAATGCAAGTATCGAAGCACTTCGAGCTGATCGTGAATGGACACTGAAAGAAAATGCTCACCTTCTGAAACTTCTTGGTTCCTACAAGTACCCTTTCAAATGTTAATACAAGCAAACTTTCGTAAATAGCTTTTTCCACTCAAGAATTTAGCTAATGTACCATTTCGTGTGCTAAATGTTATTATCAATTTGAAATTTTATGGACGATCCGTCCGTTAGCTTGTATATTCAACCCATTTGTTTTTATCGAAGTTTATGGCTTCCATGGTATTTTTCCTTCTCTAACACATTTTGAATGAATTGCAGACAAAAGTTGAGTGATGCTTGGGAAACACTGGATGCAGGACAAGAGGTAAGCAAGAAACTTCGTTCGAAGTTGAATGATGATCGAGCTTTGATTGTTCAGTTGGCTGATGATTTGGAAGAAGCACAGCAAACAGCGAATATTTTATTAGAGCAAAAAATATCTGTTCTTGATGATGTTGAACGATTAAAAGGTATACTGCTATGCTATGTAGTTTAATTAAGAATATGTGCGAAGTGAAAGTTTTTTATTTCTAAATTTAAAAAAAACTTAATATTCAACTTTTTACAGAAGCTTTAGAAGCTCAAGATCAATATATTGAATTGCTGGAAAAAGATACAATGATATACGAAGAGCATGTCGGCTTGTTAAGAGATTCGTTGGGTGCTTCGAAAGCGGAACGAAAAGCTCTGATAAAATCAAAGGCTTATGAAGCAAAACTAAAAGCGATAGAGCAAGAAAAAGAACAAATGAATCGAAGAAGCAATGGTAAGTTAAAATTTTTATGCTACTGAATTCGATAAAATACATTAACTAATCCTTCAAATCAGAACGATAAGAGGCAAGCTAAAAGAAATTCTTGAATAATAATAATTACTCATATTTTCTTCTAACTGTTGCATGCAACTACTCTACTACATTCATTTCATAATATACTTTAAAAATTGTGTTAAGAACGGGAGAGAATTCGAGTTATGCACAGCAAACAGAAAAATAATTACCAGTCAAATATCCTAGATTTAAGTGTTTGAAAATTGTCTGGGATTTGATTTACATGCGAGTATTAACCTAAACAGTCTTGGCGTGTTCTAGCTCCTTTTTTATCGAGTCAAACACGATGTTCGCTTTGTTTTTTAATGGAAAACATTGCATAACATGATATTCCTCACATAGCAACTTTTCATTCCAAAATGAGAGAACAAGAATTCAAACTTTTACTTAAGCATTAGTGGGAACCAAGAAAAATGAATAGAACAAGAATATGTAATGCACAGTACAGTAGGCAAAGTTCAATTTTCTACCACTACTACTCATTGTGTTTAGTGAAGCCATAGCTATATCTGACATAGCTATATCTGAAGCCAGATATAGCTATGCTTATTAGATAAATAAGTTTAATATAAATTTGAGGAAATTAGAAAATGGAAAAATATAAGACTATATAGCGAATATGACTAATAACTAAATTCAAATTTAAGTTTGAATAACAGAATAGAAATAAATTAGCTGGTAAAAAAGTATTGAAAGATAAGTGAAAAAAATGAATGTTACCAATTTTTATTAAGCGCCATTTTCAAAATATTGGTCGGAGGAAATTTTTTATTTACATTTTTCTATATAAAAAAGTGGGTTGTTTCTTTCCAAGAATGGTTGAAAAATGAATAGGAAGAATGAAAGAAGGTAAAAAAAACTGCCAATTTTTGATAATCATAATGTAAGCAAAAATTTTCAGCGACATGATCAAGTATGAAAGTCAAGAATTTTGACATGAGAATTGTGTAACAGAGCTGAACAAACAGTAGGCAAAAATAATTAATGCTTTAATATCAGTGTTGTAGAATTGATAGATTCGCTGCCGCCAGAAATTGTCCTCCCGCAACTCACAGTAGTTCGACTTGCCGGAGTACTTTGCTCATGGTCATCTCTAATATTAGTTTGGCGTACTTTCTTAAATGAGCGGTAGCAGCGATAATCTCGACCAAAGGATGGTTCTCTTCCATTAGAATAGTTAACCTGAAATATTTTCTTCGTAATTTTAATACATAAATTTATAAAGTACACTGTAACCCTTTTTCCTCTCGGTTTAATATTGTCTCTATTAAATTTGTAGACCTGGCCTTTTTCGGAACGTAGGTGGATTGCGAAACTGGATTCGCGCAATATTAAGAGTTTAAATAACTTACTCAGGTCAAGGCTATACTACTTTGATCCACCATGTATAGATATTCCACGAACAATGACCTTTACCTCGTTGGTACACAGTGGACAGAACCATACACGACTCTTCATGCAGCAGTAGATACCACACGGAAAACACAGCATACCGTGTAGCAAACCACGCCACGTTAATCGTTTCTTCACACTATCAACTTTACACACTGGACAGACTGCCATAGCCATGAAACGTTACAATTCTAATCGTTATCGTTGAAAAGTTTGGACAGCTGTTTCCTTTTTGCATCAAAAATTTTTGAAATTTAGAGTTTGCAGTATTATAAATAAAAAGGATGAAAGTGAGAAAAAACTTTAAGCATTCGGAAAGTAATTCTTCTGACGATAATGTGAGGAATCAGGAAAAGGTGAAGTTTTGATATATGGATCAAATTCAGAGTACTTCACACTACTTTAAATAATAAAGATTGTCTCGAGTAGATGTACTTACTGTACCATTCGACCGCTTAATAATTATTGAATAATTGTAATAATATCAATAAATTGTTGGCGGTTTCAGCAGAACCATTGTCGCTAACGTCATGCAATGTAATAGCATTCCTAAAGACCAAGTAGTTATAATATTTAATCATACAACTGCAATCTCCATCCAAGACTGGAGAGGATTTCCATATTCTTTTAACTTCTGTAACGCATATATCGATCTGTATCCAAGATCTAAGCCTATCAGTGATGATAAGATATCACATGATCATCTTTGTACAGTGAAAAACAACTAATATAGATGAGGGATATAAGAAATAAGTTCGAATAAAGTATGAATTGCATCCTGGTTACAAGAATTGGGAAAACATTATAATTAGATGATTAATTAACCAAACAGATAACTCCTTGAACTCAATTTCACATATGTTGGAAGTGTTAGTAACTTTCTCTTTCCTAAATTTTCTTTTTAACCGAAACACATGCTAACTGTGGAGCATATCATAATGGCAAATACGATTTGAGGACTGCTATCGAAAACTAAATAGATAATTTGGCAGTTTGCTGGAAAATAAAATGTCTTCCTTTCTCGCTTAAAATATAAGGGTGCTGGTCATGCCATCATTTCACAATATCATATGAGTGGATGGGAATTTCCGCTTATTTGAATTCCGAAAAGGATCCAAGAAAGGTTCGCTTTTGATTCGATTATCTTGATAGAAGATGATGCACTGGCAGCCATCGGAGATGCTGAAAAAATATATTAACCAAAAATCGAAAGGTCAGCTTCTGGGGTTACTCGTCAAAAATTTAGAAATATTTAGAGTAGTTTATTATAAAATTACGCTTTGCATCCTCTCCTGAAAATTGAATAAAAGTGGAAGTAATAGTGGGATTTTTCACTGATAAAATTGAACAGCGTTCTTCTGAAGCGTTATAAATATCTGGTAAACAGTGATGATTGATACGGCACATTATGACTAATCGTCCGACTAGAAAACCAGAAATGAGAAAAGTATTGTGCAAATGATATGCATGATTGTATGCATTTGAAAGAGGGGAAAAGATGTTTTGCTTTTGATCAAGAATTTGTTGGATCGATTCAGCTTCCATTGTGAAATAATTTAATCAATGAAACAATGATCTGCAGAGATTGTGATTAGGATATGAGAATTTGATGGGCTCGTTTCATTTTCATTATGCTGTGCATGTGTAACGTAGAAGAGAATGTGAAGAAGAATTAACAATCAAATTTGAGATATGTCAACTGGAAACGTTCAAAGAGTAGTTTATAGCTGTAAATCTAAATCTTAAGCGTTTGTTATTTTCTGGACTTTTAATCCTTTCATTTTGGAAAATTTTCCAACTTGATAGAAAAGGAAGTATTAGTGTTCCCTTTAATGACTGCTAAAGGAATGAATTTTTTTAGCCTGGTTTGCGGAAGATTCAAAACTGAAAAAATTTCGAATTCTTGGTCTGATTTCTTTGTTAGAGATTTGAAAAAAAAGAATAAAATCGAGATAGTTCAGTGAACAAAAGCGAATTTAGTGCCTAAATAACGAAGCGAAATATGCTAATATATGTGTGCAAAAAGCAGTGATTTTTTCCACTTCCTTCCATTATTTATTAAGAAATTACATCAATGTTTTCGTTGGGTAATTTGGTGTGATGATTAAAAGAAAAGATAAGCTACAATTAACTCTGCACAGATAGAAGCAGATCTGACAATTGAATCAATACCATTTTAAAAGCCATTTTATTCTTAAAGAATAAAGAATTCAGAGAGGAAGTGAACTACGTTATTTCGTGCATGTCCTCTGGCCTAATAGCCAATATTGAGTGACTACTGCGGCACTATCTAACTAATAAATGCGTCAAAAAGTAGTAAGGGATTCGTAACGTATTTCGAAAGTCAAAATATTAGAATTGCAATGCTGTAAAGAGCAAATTTCTGTGAAAAAAGATGACGCTTTCTGGAATAGTAGAGAAGATAGTGACAAACGATCGGAAAGAAGGGAAGAGGTTTTTGAGAAAGAAGAGGAAAGAAAGAATGAGTTTGTTCACTGCTAATAGAATCTGCAGCGACAACTGGTTTTGTAAGAGGGAATTTCATGTGCTGGCTTCGAAGTATTATCATTAACAAAAACGTTTGTTGAGGCATTTGAGAAATAGAGGATCTTCGAGAATAATTTTAATCTTCTTGTGCGTACAGACGGAGATTATCTGTAGAGGGGTAGAATCTTTAGGCTTGAAATGAATTTGAGATTTGTGTACAGTGAATCACGTAAACCAAATTTATACGATGAATGCTTCTGAATGGCCGGATCATCTCAAGATTTAGGCAATCAAGTCTTTAATGTTTCATGCTTAAAAATAAAAGCACTGACTTGGAATAAGTGAAAAAAGTTTTTCTTTATTTGAAAAAAATTTTCAAAAAAATTATTTTCCATTAGTAAGAGAATTCATAAAGTATGCTTACTGGTAATACATTTCACAAATAAAATCAGCAAAGACTAGAATTCATTTTGATTTTGCTCATTTTGCATTCAAGAAATAAATACTTATTATTTCGTTCCATTTTTTAATTCAGGCATGTAACAGACACGAAGATTTAAAAAAGAAAAGTGTGGGATGGGCAGATAAGGTCTTAGAATAAAGGAATATTTGAGCCTTTTGCATATCTTCCTCCAATAATTTTTTATGACTGGATACAGTTAATGAGACCATGAATTCCCAGTAAAATATACATTTGGAGTTTTTATCTTCTTTTATTTTGTCGTTTTTCTCTGACATCTTCCAATTTCAGGCAAGAAATTGCACATAAAAGCTTTAAGTCTAAAAATCAATTCACTGGAAGCAGAGAAGGCCCTCCTAATAACTCGAAACGATGAGCTCGAATCTCGACTGATCCAGTTAGGCCAAAATCTTTCGATTGCATCCGTTATTGCTTCAAGTGCTACTATCACTCCTTGTACGGTAGAATCTGTTTCAAACTTGGTCAGTTCAGGAAGTGCTTTCAAACCAGTACACACCCAGACGATGATGCAGGTGGTGTATTTTATCTTAATTTTATATGTGTATTTTATCTGAAAGATTTTTCAGATTGTGTTAAAGCAATTACTTGTGCTGTTTATTCTATTCATTAAGTTTTTATCTTATTTTCTTTAAATTTATACAGTTTATCCGACCATTATTATGTATATGTTATAAGGAATTTTAATTATCCTTTTTAAAGAGACTAAATAATGGAAGACAGTCAGCTGCGGAAGCTTTACGTTGGCCAGTGTTAGAAAATGTCGCGGCTGCATATGGTAACGTTCTGCTTCAATATTCTATCCATTTTCCAAATTGGACTGGCAAAGTTTAAACTTTGGATTTGAATTACAGAACTAATTAGTGTTTTACTGACTAGTTTTTATTAGTTTTTGCTAATATTTCCATAGTTTTATTATTTACTAGAACATAGTAATTCAAACTTCTTTGTGGACATTGATTTTACTGAATTCTATGTTAATATTTTAGGGCATCAATACAATGAGAATCTGGTAAATAATATGCAAATTGAATTGGATATAGCTCGTGAAGAATGCTCTTTGGTACAAGAGAAGATTGTTAAGATGGGTTGCATTAATTCTGAGTTGGAGCATCAATTGATAAATGTTAAAGAAGGTTTGGAAAAAGCTGAAATGCGAGCTCGGCAAGCTGAGGAACAAGTTGGAGAGTTTTGTCGAAATTGTTCGCAGCAAGAAGAATATCAAAAATCATTGCAGTCTGAATTCTTAGTTAAAGTAAGAAAAGCCACAAACAACTATTAAAAAATGAAATAGAATTTTGTAGTACCATTTCTTGAGTATCGCTTATTACTTTGTAGACATTGATAATATACGATCTCAGAACTATGAAGAGATGGGTTTTTCTATATGCTGCAGTTGATTTTCCACATTTTTTTGCATGTAATATTCGAAATTTAATTATGTTGATTATACAATATAATTGAAATTGATGATTCGTTTACATGTGGCGAGTTATTTCCTCGTATATTAATTAGGGATTAATAAAGGATTCCAGACATTTTCTTTTTTTTTTTTCCTTTTCAGTACAGTGCCATAGAAAGAGAAGTAAATGATCTTAAGGAAGAACTAGCTTTAAGAAATGAACAGCTGAATGCTAGGATGATCGAAAATAATAAACGAAATGAAGAAATGAAGCAGTGGCGATTTGCTATGGATGAAATGGAAACCGTTCATATGGAAATAAAAATGTTGGAAAAACAGGTAGTTCTTCAGATTTAAGTTTTAACGGAATTGAATAACTTCGATATTCGTCAGAAAATCTTATTAAAGACAGTTTCGATTTTCAGTATTATAAAGGTAGAAATGAAAAGCTGAAAGTTACTTTATTTCCGTTTACTTCTTTTTCTAGCTTTCATAATATTAAAAATCTATTGATTTGCCGTGCGAACATCTGCTTTATAGACTATAATAAATTATATCAGGAACTAGAAATTGTGTGGAAGGCAAAAATATTTTCTTTGTAAAAAATATAAACTTTTATTTGGCAAGCCCATTTTGATAAATCTATCAGGAATTTAAAGAATGATTTCTTAGAAATAATAAATAACAACTTGCAACTTTCCACAAAGAAATTGTGGAAAGTTGCAGGTTGGGATTGACCCAATAATTTCTTCAGCAAAACATAATATGCTGATCATTTGCTCTGTGACTAAGCTCATTTAAAAAATTTGCTTGTGCTGCATTATGTATAAGTTAGGAAGTATTGTTAGACGGTTATACCTATATATATATATATATATACAATTGATTATACTATACATAATACACTAGCAATTTGGTACTTTTTCAGTTAAATGATGAAAAAGCATCAATGGAGTCAAAGTGGGCAGAAGTACGAACAATATTGCTAGAACGGAAAGGAGATATATCGCGGAAAACTTCAGATGCAGAATCAATTGCTGATGGAGAACAAAGTTCCATTAATCAGCTCAAGCAAATGGTGGATACAATCAATGATTTGAAAAATACCGTCGATAAACAGGCCAAACAGCTTGAACGTAATAAGGTCAGCAGTGTTAATTACCTTCCAATGTGTAACGAGCTCGTTTCGCAGTACATTGTTCTATCTTTAGGGCTGTTGAAATTCTTCATTTTTTTTTTTTTTTTTGTACACACAAGGATCTGTTTTACAGTGCAGAAAGGTGAAAAGAGCAAGTGGAGATTTCTATAGAATTAGAAGACAGTAAGTGATCGGAACAATCACAAATTTACTATTAAAGGTAAAAAACCAGAGGGATCATTTCTTCGAAAATAATAGTTTTAAGATTATTCAGAGGACAGTGTTTTGGGTCTTTATTAATTCATTATTTTAATTCAGCACTATGTTTCAGACAGAAAAACAGAAGTTCAAAGCAGTTATTCGGCAATTGCAAGCCGATAAAAAAGCTCTAGTAGCATCTTCAGCGATGAAAAATGATGAAGAACAATATTTGGTTCACGAGGCACAAATCACTGGCCTACAAAAACAACTAGATTTCATGGATCGTGAAATGACTCTTCTCTTTACTTTGAACAATTCAAAAGATGTTTTAATTCAGACATTAAGAGCTGAGCTTGAAGGAATTTATTCTACAGAGCCCAAATTGTCAGATTTAAGACCTAAAAACGATAGAAAAGAGGTTTTTATTTTTAATGCTTTTTATTTGTCTTTTTCTTTTTTTTCAGTTACTTGTCTTGCATTTATAAAACTGTAATCTGATAAACGGAATACAGCATTAACTAAAAAACTATGAAACAAAGGACTTTTACGTCCTTCATTTCTTGTGTTTAATGTTCGTTTTTACCACATTTCAATCAAAGCATATTAATCAACTTTTAGGATGATTGCATTGAGCACTTACAAGCGCAGGTAAAAAATACGAATCAGGAAGAATCTGGACGTCTAAATTTGCTGACAAAAAGCAATGCTGAATTGCAAAGGCTACAGGTGCATACACAACAACTACAAGTGGGATATGATCGACTTCAGTTACAGCTTCAGTTATCTCCAGAAGGAAATTTAGATGCCATGTCTTCAAATAGAGGCACTTATCAGCGTGCTCAACTGCAACAAGCGCAACAACAGATGGAATTTAATAGCAATGAAGTGGTAGATTTATCGATGGCTGCAAAATTGGCTCATGGTGAAGCTAACAAAGATATAGAGATGAGAACACAAATGGAAAGATTGACTGAAGCTGTGCAGCAGAAAGATACCGAACTACAAAAAATGTTGAACGAGAATGAAGCACTAAAAATAAAGTTTGATTCATACTTCTAGTCAAAATTCTCACCAAATGTAGTTATTTCTGATGTTTTTTTTTTTAATTAACAAACAAAAGATACACCTCCTGAAAATCTAATATTACTGCTAATTTTTTTTTTTTTTTTTGTTCCGGTCTATCGGTCTTTTCTTGATATTAGAGTATTGAAGTTTTGTTCCGTTTTCATATATTTTTTATGAAAAAATATCAAAATTCTCACCAAATATAGATTATATATATAGATATAGATATTCTATTAATTAATGAGTCAGAAATGATTTTTTTCTTTACTTCTGTTATTTAAATCAGAATTTTCAGTTGATTCAAAGTTATATTTTATTAATTCATCAATTTGTTTAACATAAATACACAGATGCATTGAATCGACGGCAGCGTTGGATTTGCTGAGTAGTAAATTGGAACGTCGAAGTCAAGAGAAAGATGCCATTATCGAAATGCTACAGTCGCAACATACTTACTTAACTCAAACCATATTACTCAATCAAAAAAGTGAAGAACAGTTAACGACTCCGCTAACACTATCACAAAGCATAAAAACAGATACTGAACTAAAATGTATTATGCAGGATGCATCCACGATTATGGAAGAAGGTCCGAATCTTTTATTTATTTAAGATTAAGACATTATGCGAGGTATGCCCTGCATAGCTGTTTGTAAAATTTTTCATACAATATTTCAGTGTCTTTAGTTAAAAAGAGAGTACTTGAATTGATGACGAAGTTTTGTCTAGCAATATCAAGCAAGCACTAAGCAAATACACTGTTAATAGAATTATAAAATTGCTTGTGTATGGCTTCATCGTAAAGAATAGATGGTAATTTATTTTATTATTTCTATAGTCATAAAAGAAAGATTTTCCAAATTTATCGTAGGAGTGGATTTTTATGTTTAATTACGTTGTCTTTTTTAGCTGAAAGTCGTCCTTTTCTATTTATGCAACATCGCGAAACACAAACAAGAAGTGATTTTCATTTTTCTGAAACTCCAGAAACAAGCCACGAGTCAACTTCAAGGGTTGGTGTTTTAAATGCTTCAAGAATTGTCTTCTGGTTTGAAAAACTTTCGAACTTAAAAGTAGATATCCTTCATAATTTACAAACACTGACATTATATCAGGTATTTGGAAAGCAATTTAAAGTTATCAATTTTTTTTAAGGAAACTTTTACGTCTTTACTTTCAGATGGCGAATAATTCATGAAGATATTTTTTATTTCTTGATTTTATTTTTTATCAAATAATAAAAACGAAGCTTATATGCTGAGCTTAATGTTATCAATTAAAATCAGGAATTGTTCGTACATTTAAATTATTATTTTTTTAGTCCCGGAAAGTCATTCATGATAATGATCCTATTCTTGAAAATGAGAAAATTTTCCAGTGCATCGAAAAATCAGACCAAATACGTGATAACTTGACAGATGATATCAGACAGTTAATGATTCTGAATGCGGAACTAGAAACTGCTGTTGAAGTCCTCAAAGGTGAAATCTGGACCCTTAATGAACAACTAAAAAGGGTAAATTTTCTGCTGTCAAGCATTGAGACTATCATTAGATCTTTACATTCGGAATAATAAAAAATCAAATTAACCGAGGTAATGTGATCAATATTAATTTGAATAAATCTTCGGTTTTAAAGAAAAATCCTAATGATATTTGGATAATTTCAAGTCATTAATTGATCGAGAAGACTTGTCGGAGAAATTGTGCAAGCTTTCACAACGCCATGAGGAAGAAATTGAGCGCGCTCGTGAACGGGAACGTGACCTGGAGGAGCAAAAGGATGTGGCTGAAAGAAGCCAACGACAAGTATGCATCGTAAATTCGTAATTAATTCTCACTTTCCTAAATCTTAAAAGTTCTAATTTTAGGCTGCTTTGGCCGAAAATGAAAGTAATCGTCGTTTGGTTGAATGGCAGGAAAAGAGCGCACAGATGGAAAACAGTCGCATAGAGCTTGAAAATGCGTATGCGAAGCTATCGGAATACTATCAGCAATTGCAACATGCTTACAATGCTTTGTATGCCCGATCAAATGCATGTAAGGTTGACAGCAATACACAGACAACAGTGGATAGCAATACTTTCAAAATTAGCGAGGTAAAATTGTTATATTCTAGACTTATACTAAAGTCATATTCTAGAAATATTCTTTCTGGTTATAATTTTTTCAGTCTGTCTTGATTTTTACTAGGAAAAAGGCAAAATATAATGGATTTGAAAATCTCACCTTAGTTATGTTTTACCAAGATGATACATTTAAGAAATTTGCTGAGACGATCAAATATTGGAAAAGCGAACTTAAACAGCGCGAAGCAGAATTGAAAGGACAGGCAGTACAATTGAAGCATGTTCAAGATTTACTTCGGAATCATCTTCATATAATTCTGAAGAATGTCAGAGATTTGCGAGAAATGAGTTTGAAATTGATAAAGGTATGTATTTTAAATGTTTTTTTCATTTAAAATACATGAACGTTCGTTCATTTTATTTATGCTCAAATAAATTGAATACTGAATTCTCAATTAAATTACGAAAAATAAACATATTCAATTTTCTTTGATGCGACAATTTTCGTTGCAAGCTTCCCAGTGTTTTCAAAATTTTTTAAATTCCTCGAAACTAGAAAATTGGAATAAATGCTATTTTCTTAAGAACATTATTATGGAGAGTGTACAGACAACCCGAGCTCAACTACACGAAGCTTTGAAAGAAGTTCTTTCATATGTTGAGGAAGTTATCGTCAAATTGTGTAAAGAGAAAGAATTAAAAGATGCCGAAATCACTGTAGCACTGCAGCATCTTATGAATGACACACTAACAGTAAGTTCCTGAATACCAAATTGAATTATCTCTCTCACTGTCTTCATTCCTGTTTCTGTTTAGTGCTTCTTAATGAAGCATTGCTTCAGATTTTTAGGCTCATCTTAAACTTTCATCTTCTGTAAAGCTGATCCATTTTTTTAATCATTATAAAAATAATTCAATGCTGTAAACTTACTTTCAGGAAAACATCTTACAAACACGAAATTCGTCGTTGTCAATGGTTGTTGACGCTATCAACAAGAAATTTACAGAGATGAAATCTGAAAACACAACTTTGGGAAATGATTTATGGAATGAAAGGAGTGATAAAGAAGCTTTGGAAATGAATGCACAGCAGGTTTCTCTTTTTTCTTTTTATGTCATGCTACTTTTATCCATGACTTCAGTTCTTACAAACTTTTGGTTAGTTTCGAAATCTTTTGAAGATTAACACTGTTATTATAAGCAGAGAATTTTTTCAATTTGTATACTACTGGGATGAAGCTCGAAAATTTCCCATTTTTAGAGTATTTCTGAAAAAAACGGGTTGGAATCAAAAATTAAAGAGTTGGAAGATCTGCTTCAAATAACACAGTTTTCATTAGCCGAACACGTCATCAAATGTCAACAGCTTCAAGCTGAACTTGATGTGGTTCTTTTTTTATATTTATTTCTTTCAAAATTCAAATTTTATGAATGGTTTTTTCATAATTTCTCATTTAATCTTCTCTGTTTAGGACGTGAAAGGTTCACATGAGGACAAAATTTGAGCTTCTAATAATTAATTCGCAGTAATTTACCAAAGAAGAATGTCACTTTCTAACTATATTATCATCTTTCAGCTTGGCTCAGCAACGAGCAGTCCAACAGGTTCATTTCTTTCAATTAATTATGCGGTAGTACTCCTTTTTATGCTAAAAATAAAAATGCATTTAAATTAGCTTTGTGAACCTGTAATTGACCTTGACCTTTTTCTAAACTGACAGCTTTTTTGGTATGATATTGAATAGAGATTTCGATGATTCATAATCATTCTTAAACCTGAAAACTATCAGTGATAACTTAGATCTATATATATTATAAAATATTAATTTGATTAAATAAAATGGTAAGTATGTTTTAAGAACTTCTTGTTTGTGTGCCATATTTTTGAAATTTGCAGTCAAATGAACATATGATTTTTAATAGATGTAGGTTTTTGTAATTCTGTTCAACAATGTATGCACCAGGAAACGACTTCAAATAATTTCTTCCTCAGAAAAACAGTGGTCTATTAGAAATGTGTATCAAAATATTAAATTTAATACTTGTGCATCCCAATTTTCCGTTATCTTTAATAAAGCTTCTTTTTTATAAAAACCGTGGAAATTTTTAAATTATTACTAGTACTTGCACTTTATTCCATTTCAAAAAAGGTTTAATGATTATTACAGCAGTAAAATGTGGTAGTAGTAGTAGTGATCCATGGAACTGTTCCACACCATGTACGATTTGTCGTGAGCTGAGGCAAACCGAACAATCAGCTCCAACACCGCAACTACAGTTAGCCATTTTAGCGGCTCGCTTGACAACCAAAATAGCCGATAATGATGCTTTATTCCGGTGCAATGCTGAACTCACCCAAACAAACTTGAGACTGCAGAATGAGGTTAGCGAGTTGAAAGAGCAGATGACTAAGCACATCACATCTTCCAGCAACACTCTTATCTCAGCTATCAGCCAGCAATCACTACTTCAACAACAGTATATCCCAAAACAGTTTTCGAATCAGTCATCGGAACAGAAAGTGATGCATAGAGAAGAAAAGGAATGGACATGGGAAGCAGAAGATCTCGGTGCAGAGTTAGTCAGTAATTCGGGATACCAAGTTACTCCCTACAAACCTTTATTGAATCAACAGATTACTAAATTAACGATGACGAATGAAATCCAAGTACTAGGTCTGACAGAGCTAACATCCCAAGAAGAAGATAAAGAAAGTTTGAAAAAGGAGTTCAATGTAACACGCGAGTACAGCGTAGAAGTTGAAGAGAGAAATAAAGCTGGAAGGTTGGGTAATTGTTCAGAAATTACCGAGGATTACTGTTTGGAATATGAAAATAAAGTGGAGCAGCTTAAGGACTGTGGAATAGAGACAGAACAGCACGGAGATGCCAGACATCAGCAGAAATTGGAAGTAAGTGGAACTAATACTATTGACGAATTATTGTCACTGAAAAGCTACAATGTGCAGTTAGCGGGGTTTGTGGAAAGTGAAAAACAGGAACTGAAAGAACTGGGGAAAGGATTGCAGGATACAGGGACACGGTTAGGAAATGAAGGAATACAATGCGAATTGTTTTGGGCAGGGTTCACTGAGGGATTAGAGGAGCAGAAAGAGGTTGCGAAGGGAAAATTGAAAGAGAATGAACATGAAGCAAAGGAGAAGGATTGGATTTCGGGTGGTACGCCGGAACAACAATTTCAAACTTTGCTCTTTAAGCAGGATATCCCTCCGGATGGTGTTGTTGAGGGAAATAGAATACAGATGTTGCAGAAATTAGAACAACATCAAGGAAGGGAAATTGAGATGCAAGAACTTGAGAACAGGTCTCTGAACCTGCAGTTGAGATCACAACAACAAGTGATTGAAGAGTTAGGGAAGAAGCTCAATGTGGCACAAGAATACAACGTGGTACTGGAAGAGAAAACTTTAAGTATGGAACAAAAAATCATTGATCTGAAGAAAATGTATGAAGAACTGTTGGTCGAGAAAGGTAGGTTAGCAGAAGAAGTGAAAAATGAAATAAAAACAAAGTTGCACGAAGAAATTACCCTACTTAAAAAGGAGAATGAAAGTCTGGTTGTAGAGTTAGCCAAAAAACGAGCTTCCCATAATGAAGAAAAAAGAAGCATGAAAGCTGAATTAGCAAATCGCGAAATTATCTTGAAAGAGTTGAAAACAGAAATGGAGCATACACAGGGAGAAAGTGTTGATATGCAACGACAGCTAGACAGTTATAATGCTCAAATGGAAAATGAATCTAATCAGGACCTACATCAACAGTTAGTCGAAGCACAAAGAAAAGTAGTCGAACTGGAGAGCAGACTGAATGAAGTGGTGGAGCAGAACAGATTATTGAAAAATAGTGAACAAAAACTAATGGATGCTCTTATGGTTTCCAACAAATCTGGACCTAATCTACAGACTTCGTTATTAAAAAAGGCGAAAATAACCAAAAATAGGGGTCGTGTGAGGAAACCAATGATGCATGATGGGAATACAATGGTCGAAGTGCACGGTAAGGTTGGAACAAGGTAAATTTGTCACTCATTCATTATACATTACTGTCAAATTCTCTACACTTTTAGTTTTTCAAATTGAGCAGAACTGAGGGATTCTGTCGTTTAGTTTTACTGACATAAAAATATTGCTTCAGATCCCTAGACATAATTCATGTTCTATTGTTATGATAGCAATTGTTATCATAATAAATCTAGCACTTGCCACTCTAGTGTTTTGATTACAGTTCGACAACGATGCAACTACTTGATAATCCTGTGATCACCAATGATTACCTTCCCGTGCAAAAGAAGGTGTAAAATTTGAATTTAATAAAAATTTATTAAAGTGGAATCGTATAGTAATTTATTTCTAACTGAGAGGTAAGTGCTACTACTTTTTTTATGTTTAAGGTAGATGATCCGAAGGGAAAATTTGATGAAACACTACATGGCAATGCTTTGTTGGAAGAAGCTGCTCAAGAGATGCAGTCGGAAATCAGTACTTTGATAAAGGTGAATTTATGTGGTCGTCATAGTTGCTGGATGTAGTGAAAAGGAATTTGATTTCTGCAGTTAAATAGGCTTTCAAATAAAAATACAATTTTTTCCTTTGCTATAAATGGAGTTTTTCCATGATTATGCTAACCTTTCCTGTAGAAAAGGGTCGTTTTTCTGGGATAGTTTGATTTTTTTTTTCAAGAATTTTCTTAATCTTAGAAATTTTGAAAGTATCTTTCGAAAAGCGAGCGAAGCTGGAAACAATTTGAGTAATAAATCATTTCGAGAACTTTAATTTTTGAAAACGCTGGTCTTGCTACCTTTTTTACGAGAATTTCAGTGATTTCATTAGGTGTAGGACCAATCGACTCATCACTTTCAGGTTTTTCTTTAAATGAATTTGTAGTTTTATTAAAAATTGCAGTTTTATTAAAGCAGTTGAACAATTATTTTCCCGCAAATCAGCTTTCGTTTGAAGCAAAGTTTTATATAATTTTACTTACATAATTCTTATAATTCTTACAAAATGTCAAATTTCTTCAGCCTTTCGAACCAACATTACAAAGGACGACTCACTATTTCCACGAGATGGTTAGTGTTTATGTGCTTTATTTTTATAATGGTAATTTCTTTTGATGAAATTCTAAAATTATATCCCAAAATGCGAGGATGTGATCGATAGGGATTACTTCTGCGTAGTTTGGTGACGCGAATTGTTTTGTCTGAAATTTTAGAATTCTTTCTATTAAAATTCTCCTGTTTCTCTTTACATAGAGTTGAACTGGATGGAATTTTTTCTCATATTGGAAGTAGAGAAAACTTTGTCGTGTTTTAAATGTCATTTTAGAATTTTCAAAGCTTTTTTCAGAATGTTGATAAGTTGCGGCGGCGAAAAGGTGGTGGATTTCAAGGTGCTGAGAAGACATAATAAATACAAATAAAGAAGAGGGATTTTCCCTTCAGAACCTTCTTGTTTCTATATGATTCTTTGTTCACATTTCTTACCGGTCCATTATTTTCAATTGTTTTCCTTGCTGTAGTGAATTCATTTTTTTCTTTTTTTTTATTCATCTAATCCTCTATAACATCTTTTGAGCATACTTTTCGGGTTTTACAAATCTTTGATTAATTTATTTGTAGCCACATGTATTTTCATTCACTTCACTTCATTTTGTTGTTTCTATATAAGACTATTTTTCTATAAGACTACTAGGTAGTTCTGCAATCCTCGCTTAGAGTATTATGCATATGGATGAAGGAACAACTTTTGTTTATACACCGTAACTATAGCATCTGACATTCAACTATTTGACCCGTTTTAAATGATCTTATTCTTTACATCTAAGATGTTTACTACCGTGCTTTCCTTTAAAAATCCAGCAACAATTGCTTTATTTCGGTAAACTTTTTCGGCAGTTATCGTTAGAGAAACATGCGAAGAGAAGAAAAGTACTTTACTACAATTATTTAACTGTCCTTCGGTGCTATTGCAACATATGCGAAGTAAAATGATACAGTCAACCAATAATTTGTAAGTAAGATATCTGCATTGCGTCGTGAACCAAGCAGAAGTGAAATGATGCATTATGGATTTGTTCTGGAAATTTTTTTAGAGCAAAAAATTTGAAGTAAGGCTGGTTTGATTTTTGGTAGTCTAATGCCGGATAGGTTAAAATGGAATCTGATTACTGATTAGTGCTTGGAGTCTGATTACTGATTAGTGCTTGGAGCATTATAATGGTGTTGGTGAGTTGGATGTGCTCAATGAGAAATTAATGAAATGGTGCATGGGAGTGCGCGAGAAACTTCTATCACTTGTAAACAATTTCTGAAGGGAAGAGTTCGCTGAACACTATTGCTCGGATAAAAAATTGGCTGAGAAGGACAGAAGTTTCTATAGCTATAGATCTGGAAAAGTACAACAATGATATTTATACTCAAGTGGGGGGTTCAAGAACTGCAACTGAAGATTCAGTAATAACAGTGCCGAGGAAATCAGCAAGTTTCGAATCAAAAGGACTTATTGAGGTGGATTTTCCATTTAACCAAACATCGGAAGAATTAAAATCAAGGACAGCTGAAGTAGAGATTGAAAAGACTGTAGTTGATGTTTCCTTGCAGATTGAAGATCTAGTATTTTCAATCGATAATGAGACTTCTAAGAATTCCGTAAAGTTCTCAACCAATGTTTGCAATGAAACAGTGATTGTGCGGGATGATTCCGAAACGAAATCATGAACTCCTGAAGTTGGGCAGGATCCAAAAGATGCAGATGAAGTGAAAAATATTTCTGTGGCTTATGGAGATTTCACTCTGTATACATGAATGGAAGAAAACGATAATTTAAGATCGCGAAATCCAAAATCCTCTTCAGCATCGATATCAAAATACAATGATGAATCTACCGAAGCTGTAAATCAGAAAGAAATTTATAGAACTCAGTTTGTTGGTAAACTAAATGAAATCAATGGAGAAAATGGTAAAATGTCTGAAGTGGGGACAAATTCAACTCCGCAAGTGTAGATGAAATGGTCGTATTTGCGAAAGCTATTACGCTAACCGGAAGTAAGGACACTATATCAGAGCGATTGAGAAATGCTTACAGAACCATACGTTTGGTGAGTTGACTAAATTTCACCTCTTACTTCTAGTTTAGATTTTCTTTCACTTCTATTAACTACTATTTACAACAAATTTCTTCCATATTTCACAGTTTCTTGTTAGAAATACTTACCGGAATAATCAGATTACCATCTCCTATTTGTACATCGAATTTAATTTTCTATTGCTAAAAACTCAATTTGTAATTTCTCACTAATTACAATTTCGGTGACTTGGGAGATAATTTGTTTGCTGCACCCTGATGATCTTATTTTAACTAATTTTGAAATGGATTGTGCTTTAATTCCAGTTGGAAGAAGGTATTGAAGTGGATGAAGTGCAGTATAATGTAGATATTAGAGTTAGTTTTAATTGAAATTTTTGATTTATTCATGTTCTTATCAATATATATTCAGCGATAAAACTTTTCTGTAAAAGTTTTTTTTCTTTCCTGCAACTTCTCGGTCAATTAATGTTTGTTTTTATGAAATTGCTCGTTTTTATTTGATCAGCTATAATCAGTATTTCGTCAAGCCTTTGTTGCTTGAGAATAGAATTTGAAATTGAAGTTTAGAAAGGCTTCGATTTATGTGCTGAGAAGGCCTATCCTACATGTGAAGTCAGGGGAATATTCATTAAATTAGAAGTTCGTAGTTTCAATGCTGGTCTTCTAATCATTTTGTGCTGGTGCTATAATTTATTAAAAAACTTGCTTTTAATTTCTAGAGTAAAATGCTTATCGCATCGAGTCCCTGGCCAAGCCTAACGGATCGACTTTATCGTTATATGCATAATTTATCACATCGGCGGAATGTTATCCGACTAATTCTTCGTAATTTGGTTGTCTTCTATTTTTTTCCGCTACACGGAGCCTTTTTTCGATATATCATATTTTAAATTGATATACAATATATTCACTCAATGTTTCATATTGTATTATGTAACAAATGTAAATGAAGAAATTCTGTAAGTTTTATTCGAAACTTCTATAAAAAATTTAATATCCAAAATTTACTCTATCCATTCCTTTACTTAATTTCTACTGTTATATTTTATGTTCTATCTCTTACATGTTTATTAATTCGGCATAAAGCAATGTATTATAGCAAAGCACGCATTAAGCTATAACAATTCCATTCATATGGCAGTGAAACAGCAGTAATAACACAGATAGAAGAGACAAGAAGAAGAGGCAGAAGGTTTGCTCTTGAAATTAGCATAATCAGCAGAATAATAATCTTGCACAGCAACCAAAAAATCTGAAATTCCAGAAATGAGGTTTCATTTATTCGGGGAAAGTGCTGATTCTTTTATTGTATAATATTTGATCTGTATTACAAAAGTGCGAAATAAATGCAACATAAGAAAAGCCTGAAGTGGACAATTAAAATACAATCAGATAAACATTGAATTAATCACACTAATAATTTGGGTAAGGATCTAGGCATGTAGCTGTGAACAGACGAAATGTACCGAAAAAACCATATGCGGTAAGAGAAGCAAAGGTAGATTGGTGAATAATCCAATAAGTAAAATGAATGTGCATAAGATCCAGCAAAGTGTAAGCGCCCAAATTATAGTTACAACCAAACTGAAAAACGTAATTTATCTACCTTCCATTTGTTAAGTGACCCAAAAAATCCTAGCAATTCAGAGCGTTCTAAAGCAGGGTTTTAATTTCTCGATGTTTAAAAAATCTCGTTTGGAATTTATAAGAATCTTTTGCAGATAACAATTCAAACTGTAAAAATGCGTAAGTTCGAAGAAGTTTAAGTAACTCCAGATCTTGTCGATGCAGCGACGATGTTCTATCTATTATGAATTATTACAGGACAGTTAGGAATTAAAAACAATCGTTAAAGTTTCCAGTAATAGAGAAAATTGTAGAACTTACCGGCTTTCTTGGTATTACGTAAGAGAGCAACTTACCGACTTTCGTAATCATAAAAATCATGGAAGTTCCGATGAAGTAAGACGGTATTTTCGATGAAATGACTGCTTGCAAGCATTAGTTGTATTACAGCCAATATAGAAAGAATGTTCTTAGATGGAAAATATTTTGGCTCCAAATTAGGAGGTAATAATTCTTTTTTCTGTCTTTCTTTCTCCCTTCCTTTCTTCCAATAATCCAGCTGGTTTTCATGCATCATAATTATATTGTTTACCATATTAGCACTTAAATTGTAGTGAATTTTAAGACATCTATGTTTTAAAAAAGATCGGTAAATGTTTTTTAGCAAAAATGAATTTTAATTGTAAACTCTGACTTGTGTTAGAAGGAATTTCATAATTTCAAAAAGTCCCGACTAAACAATGAAAACTTGCAAACTTGCAACTTATTTCGGTTTAAACCGAAGTCTAAAGCAATTTCACTTAATTTCGTTAGTTCATGTTTCGCGTTTTCTTGGTTTGTTTTTTCCATTTCCTTCTTTCGTTGATAGGTACTATTGGCATGTTACTGGAACTTATGTTTCCTACATTTCCCTATTATCTAAAATCTGATTACAAAATATCATTAATCACTGAATTTAAAAATAAGCAGGCACTTCAAGTAAAGAGTTGAATAATGAGAACTGTTCCATCAGCGAAGTTTTTTTGCATCGGAAATTTGATATTATAACCATTTGGAATGCTTTGTTTCAATGTCATAGTTTATATGTTTAGGCAGACTTCCTAAGGTAAACAAATATTTCCTGAACTGTCCAAAAACATATCGGAATTTTGAAATCAACTAATCTTTACAGTTTTTCAACTTTCAGTATCTTCAGGATATGGTATTTGTTTCAAGTTTGGTTTGGCGGAATTATCTTCTTTTTATCTCCTTTTCAATAAACTTTCAAAAAATGATCATTTCCAGTCCCTGCTTGCCGCACTTGAAGCTTTGCACTTTTGAAGTTAACCTTGGATATTATTTTTTTTTTATTTTACTATTCAAGCTAGTGAAGTTATTTCAGCATTTTGTAAGCTTACTTATAATTAAAAATATCATGCTTGTGCAAGTTTTATAAAAATATGAAAGTTTCAGTCTGCAGTAGATGGTGCGGGTGCAGTAAACGTCCCATAATAACAAATGTAATCCTTTGTCTTGGACCCAGATTTTCTGAAATGATTTCATTTTTCGTTTACTAAACTCCCCATATCCAGGTTTAATACTGAAATTTTAATCTGCTTTGAACCTTTCAATTTTTTAGTTAAATTGGATGAGTAAGCAACAAATTATTTCACAACTGCTGCAATCTGATCAAAAATCCGTCTTGAGTATACATTCCTAAAAAATTGCAGCTCTGGTTTAACCTTCGTTTAATTGCAACAATAAATTTCTCATTTTAACCGCTAATCTTTGAACATTAATTCTGAGTTCTTTATTATGGAAAGTATTTAGGAATCAGTTTCACAAAACTGAATTAGTGAATAAGCATAGTACTAATTTTTGGATAATTAGGTGTCAGCTATAAATTCCGGCATTTGAACAAAATATAAAATATTGGACCTAGTATTGATCTGATCGCAATCTAATTAAAGTTTTTCTAATTTAATTAAAGACGGTAACCGTAGCAGATAATGACGAAATAGATGTATGTTTAAAACCGAATCATGAATTTTCGTTACACTGAGCTAAGCGACAAATTAATAGCAATTTTTTTCAAGCATATTTAATTTTACAATAATCAGAAGTTTTCAATTCCAAAAATATAAGTTCCAAAATTTGGAATGAATGAAACAAAGTTGACAATTGATCAGAGTCTTGAAATAATTTCTCTCATTTACATTTCTCTTCCCTCACATAAAAAAGAAAAACCGAATAAGTACCGGAAGTTCTGATCTTTCAATTCTTAAACTGCAAAGCCATACATGAATCACATGCAGTCCATAATGCAAAAGGACCCAAAAGTATGGTCATTATTCGCCCAGGATATTTTTCTTTTTACTTCCCAACTATTCACTTCTATTTCCTTCGACCTTTTCACTCCTGTTAAAATGTTGTAGTGCGGATGTCTCATTCTCCTTTCTTGTAATAAGTAGATAATTATAACATCAATTGCCAAACAGGTCACGCACACACCTTTAGCCACGTTTTTCGTTTTTCTCCACATTTAATGCTTTTGATGCTAAGACAAAACTGACCGTATAACCTGAAAACTGACTTAACAAATTTAGTTCCATTTGTACTACGCATTTTAATATTCCAAACCTACAAACAACATAGCTTTAAACCAAGAAAACACTCTGCATTTGATTCAACAATTCCATGCACAAAATACTATCAAAAAACGCAGCCAATTTAGCGAATAAAAAGAATGAAACAACATTTCTTGTTCTAGAATAGGTGGTATTCAAACCAGCCCTCCTGCTCATCCTTGTGTCACTCCTTTTCATCGATCAAAAGCACCGGTAATGGCAAATATAGGTTATATTTAAGTATGGTTATCAAAAGAAATTTAATGGTGAACCTGAATTACTTTCAACAAAGCAGGTAATGACATGCAACATCGCAGTTTACAAGACAATAATTAATCATTGAATAATGAAACAAGGATGAGAAAATGCAAGAATTGAAAAACCAAATTTGTCAAAAACTAATAGATTTAGAAAAGTTACAAAGTAAACGAATGGAAAAGTCTTAACGAAAATATTTTGTTAACGTAACATCAATATAATGCAACGAGAAGAAAAAAGGAAACTTGTCTAGATTTCGATTTGAAAAAAAAAATCCTAAAATTCCTATACTACATATTTTTTTTCAATTCCCAGTATTTCTGACTCGAAGTATATAACCTGTGTAAAACATTAGGTATGAGAACAGAATATGTCATAATTCCTGGAATTAATGATATTAAAAAAGACTATCTGAATTATAAATTTTACTTTCTACAATGTTATTTTCAGAAAGACTTCAACTGTAAGTTCAGTCTTACCAGTAAAAACTCGAAGTGATCAATAACCACTTCCTAACGAATTCTGAAAGGCTGATTTTTTTTTCACTTAGAATGTGAGAGAACAGAAAGGAAACATAGCAATATAAAGTTACATGCAACTGCTTTCACTGAAGGCTATCAAGAAATTAGAACTGAACAAAAATAGGGTCTAATCACAATAAATATGAGACAAAAAGTAACAATGGATACTAAGTAAAAAATCGTGAGTCCAAAACATGAGTCAAAAATTAAAACTGGATTGCAATTACACAATGTTTGGCTTCTCACCACGTGCAAATATTGCATCTCGTCCAACCTGTACTACCGCTGGATGATTCTGTGTTTGTTTCGCGTTTAAATTAACTGTATAAACAGCACGCTGATAGCGATTCCGAAAAATACCATCATAGATTAAACCATCGTCCCATTTCACCTTGATCTTCAATAACACTCTATTTAATAATAACTAAAACTTTTTATCGCATTAAGGATAAAAAATTCCGGAAATGTGTCACTAAAGCTGACATCCCTCTTCTTTTAAGCTTTCAAATCTCTTTTCATTTAAACCAAAGATATGCTAGTTTACACATACAAATTTTTTATATATATATATATATATTTACACATATATATTGATTTCTATGAGCTCAATTTTTTAAGACTAACATAATATTACATTTTGGAATGCTCTGCCACTTAATGATGTAAGAAAAACTCTCTTTACTCCTTTGAAAAATTCTCATTTCACGTAGCACCTATCAAGAGACAGTGAAATGTGAAACGGTGATCAGCGCTTCAATTATATTCCTCCAGTACTTCATAAAATTAAAAAGACTCAGTAGAATATTTTCCATCTAAAGACTCAAACGTATGAAAGATAAAAACTCCATTCACAAAAATCCTTCAGCATTCATATAAAAACAACGAACCTTAGCTCCAGGCACGTGCCATCCATTGCATTTAAATCGGGAGCATTCACATTCGACAATATCTTCTGATGGCAAATCATCACTCCAGTTACGATCCATAAAATTTACCGTACAACAATCATGATATTCAATACTGGAAACCGTTCCTTTCAGTAAACGACCACAATCACCCAAACACACACGAACGTTATCACCAACTGATACTGCTGATGTATTTACTTCACCTGTCAATTTCGGGATTTCGGGATGAAACTAGTTTTTGATTTATTTATCGCATAAATCTCATACAAAGATTTTAAAATTAAAAATACTACTGCAACAGATTCATAATAATTACTGCATTCTACCATATAGGACTTGGTATTCAAAAATAGGACTTGGTATTCAGTAATGAATTTTTCTTAAATTCGAACCAACCGTCATTATGTTCAGGACAGACAGCAACAGTAAGATCTGGCCAGTTCCGGAATTCGAAAGAAACACCTGCTAGACGACCACATGTTGCATGAAAGAGTGTATCATCGCACGAAAGACATTTCAATAATCCTAAAACATTAACTTATAAATTTTTGCAATCGACCTGCCATCAGAATGAAGTCATAACTTTTTTGATCAACCAATCAAAACATCAAGATTCACATGAAACTATTTATTCACCTTCGCGCGAATGCAAGCAAAACTCGCACTCAAATTTGCCTCGTTCACAATTTTCGCCGAAGGCTCCCATATATTCCTTGTTCATAAGATCTGGATACTTGTTCGGCGCGCAAAACTTTGGTGGTGGTAAAGTATATGCTGATGTTAGTTTTACTGGATCCAAAAAAACTGTACGACGATTTAACAACGCACAAATAACATGGACAAACTCCCCTTCACTCTGAAGGTAAGACACTGAATCAGATAAGACGAAAACAATTAGTCTTTTTACTCATCTCTCTTTCTACTAACAAAATTTCAGATTACTTGGTTTAATACATAATTTAGATTTCTTGATAGTCTCCATAATTTCAAAACTAATTTAAGAAAGCAAAACTATCTTAAAAACTCAAAATCTAAAGATTAAATATTACTAAAGACGGTAAAGAGCAAACATTTTCACAAGGTATCAGGGCGCCACCACGCAATTCGCATAGGTGACAACTTGCTGAACGCAGTGCCAAATCATCTCGTTGCCTACAACGTACACACCTCCACTGAGTTACATCTGGAATATAACCAAGAATTTAATTAAAAATTTAATTAAAAAAAATGCAACTAAAGATAACAGATTAGATAAGAGATTAGAACTAGTCAAATTTAGGAGAAAAAGAAGAAAAAAATGGGCATTAATCAAGCTTCAACAGTGTATATTTCCGAATGCATTCCAAATAGATATAGATAATGAAAACCAACCATTAGGAATATTTCCGATTGGATAGCAACCTTCATGTACAACTACAAAACAGTTTGCGCATTTAAACAATCGGTCATCACAGGCAGCATCATCTTCATTTATATTATACGTTTCAGGATTCATCTTCGCATAATATGCACGTTTTACAAGACGCTGAGATCTGAAACACACTACCTGAAGCAAACTGCTCTAAATTCCAAACGCAAGACTGCTAATGTTCTAAAAATAACTGCAATCCAATTCTATGCATAAAATTAAAGTAACATAATACAACCTAATCTTTTAAACAATTTCTTCAAACTGAAAATCTCGAAAGAAATCACGACTCACGTCAGCGGCAAATTTTTTTTCTTCTCCATTAGTGGTCTTGGTACAAAATACTGACATATAGAACAGTGCGGTGTTTCATAAGCATGACGAATATTAAACTCTTTTTCAGCGTAGAGGCTTCCGGGTAGATTTGACCATAAATCTCGGACCTGAAGAAAAAACTTTCATATTTCATAAAAGAACTAGTAAACTATGAATACCTCAAAAAACAATACGAAAAAATATAAAAATATACGCTGAAAATCACTTTCCATTAAAATTTAGTAATGGCTTCTTTAGAAAATATCGAAACATTTTATTCTATGTTATATACAACCAAGTATATTCATAGAAGCTCATTGGGATTACCTCCTTTTTCCACTTGTTGCTTACAATCATATTTGAAGCCACTGCTGACACCTCCTGCTGGTAACCATTCATATCACCATTAAATCCTTAAATATTAGTACCAACTTGTTCTAAAAACAAAAATTTTCAAAATTGCAAAAAAAAAAAAAAAAAAAATGTAAATCAGAACACCAGACAAAATCTCGCAGGCATACCAGAACTTCCTGTACGGATACCTTCTTCAACATGCGGCCCACGTGCACCACCACTTTTCTGAGTTTTTCGACGCTTCTTCCTTTCTACTGCTTTCTCATCATATACTGGTTGACGTTTTGAGCTTGTCACTCTTTCTAAATTCAATAAAATATTTGAGCTCAGAGGGGGACGCAAATTTATTTATCCTCGAGCAAAACTACTACAAAGATTATCCAGAAGATGTCAGAAAACTAATCGGTTTTGACAGATCGCCACCTACAACTTCAGTGAAAACAAGTTACTTCTTTCTTTGGCAAGTCGTTCTCCGTACCAATACTGGTACCACTCATCATATTCAGCAGCTCGATATGTCTTCATAAATGGTCGCATATCAATTTCAACACTGTCTGAACGGCAGCCACACACCAAAGCATTCTTGCCTTAAAAAAAAATCAATGTTTCCTATTGAAAACAACAAACTTAATAACTTCGTTACCGTTTGAAAGCAGAATAAACTACAAAAATGTAATCCAGTATTACACAGATACTTAAAACATTAACCAAAATCAATCCATCGATCGGATCCAAAATTTGTTGACTCTGCACAATTATAGCCAATATTAAAACCCATGTGGTATCCCTGTAATGGCTCAAATCGAAAGAGGAAAAAATAAAAAGCCGAACTCGCGGTTAATTTTTAAATAAAAGAAATACAAAATTAAATAAACGAAAGATGAAATACTGATCAAATAAAAATATATAAAAGTACATCAAAAAATAAAAAATCTCCTTCGAGTAAAATATATATTTGTTTCATTATCAAGTTTTTATTATATCTCTAAAATTTCAAATTTTATTTCCATTGAAAATCTTGCACAGTCAACAGCAACTCATACTCGTGGAAATGTAATTATGAATTCATTTGCATACTGAACCATTGTTCCGTATCTGATGTTGTTTTTTCGTAATACATGTGGAGAGATCATGAATGTTTTGTGGCGTAGAAATGATTTACATGTTTTTGCTGCGGATGGGAAACACTGCGCAGCGAAACGTTCAAAACGACTTAACGAATCCGTAGCTATAGCATACCAGAACTGAAATAATCACAAGCTGAACATCGAAGCAACATTTGTACGAGCTTGGAACTGTGATTAAAATTGCAGCCATTATGATTCTATTCAATAAGTCTGGAGCACAAAAGTGTCCAATATATAATATTTAAAGTGAGCAAAAGTAATTCTTACTCTAATTCAACCAAATATTTGAAAAAATATCGTTAAAAGTTTAAAAAAAAAAACTAATGACAACAGTCCTTTCTGGAGTCAGATGTACGAAACATTAAGCATTAAAGCGAGTTAAGAAAATTGCCCATGCTATCCGACATCAACCATCCAAACAAAAAACACTCATATAAAATGAGAGATATGTTTCAATCAATAATGAACTTTGAGAATATTAATGGAAAGTTGAATATAATGAAATAAATATAACGATGGTATTACGATTGATACTAATGATAAATGACCTTTGGTTTACCAAAATGAACATAATTGATGGAATAAAGATCCATGTCTTCGGGATGCCATGGAAATGTTGTTTTCCACATGCCGAAATACAAATAAACCGTATTCACACCTTTAATTTTGACCTGAAATCATAAAACCTACAGTAATTATAATGGAACTTTAACAAAAAAAATGTTCAAGTTGAAATTTAAATAATATTTGCTGAAATCTCTATTCATTCAGCAAGAAAATGATGAAAAATGAACCAGGCGCCCACCCAAAATTCAACAACTCACACTGACTGGGTGACTGCTTTTGTATGGTTTCGATAAGTTGCATATCAGCTCAGCATTCCGGAAATAATTCTTAACAACTGAATTAATAAACGAAGGTTCTCTGACAAAATATCATCTAACTCTAACTATAATGACAAAGAGTTATTAAATACAATTCTTGAAAAATTAAGAAAATTACTTACTCCACTGCTATCTAGCATATCAAGAACCGTGCCCAAACGATTCATATTGAATTCTCTAAGATTTTCGTCACATATAGTCCCCGGTGAATCAGCACCATAAACCGGTTCCCCTTGTAACACATGTTTCCAATAATATCTGAATTTTTTGAGCTTTTAAAGAATTTAGTTTCATATGATATATGATATATCTAAAATGTATGTGCAACTTAAAATTTTAGATGATGAATTCTTGGTTCTCTTATAAAATCCTCGTTTCAAGAAAAAGCAATTATAGTTTTATACTTTTCGAGCTTAAGAAAAAAGTAAAGGCCACATTCATAAGTCATAGTCATAAACTTACTTTTCAATCTCCTGCGGTGGTAAATCACCTTTTGGAAAAGGTGATTTCTTTGCAAGTGCTCGAAATTCTTGTACAGTAATTGATCTTCGATATAACCTATTTGTTTTAGTATACACTCCAGCATTCCCTTCTATTTTTTCTTTAACTGGCCTGAAATTTTAAGTTTTGACCCAGCAAATCATTTGCTTAAAACAGATAAAACATTAAAGAAAAGACAGAAAAACATTACTGATCGATGACATAATTGTCGACGTCAGAATAGTCGCCTGATTTCCTTGCATAGAATTCCGGCGGAGGTACGATCTAAACAGGAATATGTAGTAAAAAAATATAACTGAAAACTGAAATACAAATGTCAAAGTCTAAGTTTATAATGCAAGGTAATAACATGTTTATAATGCAAGGTAATAACATATTTAGATTTCAACAGCGATATGTTGCTAATTGAATATGCCATCTCAATGGAGATAAGTAAGAACACTGTCTTCGTAATTACCGACTGTTGCTAGATGATTCAACAGTTATATAAACGCTTAACCTTTGACCAACAAAATGCTTGAGGTATATAATGCATATCTTCTGTAATAAGCAAGTGATCTATGCCATAATGCACAGAAACAAGAAACATATATATGCAGGTATACACATACAGACATATACATACACACACGCACATATATATCATAGATTAGTAACGGTGCTGTTGGGAAGCCAATAACTCTTCCCTTACGAAACAATTCTTTTTTCTCGCATACTCCACTTTACTGATCCACCCTTTTCATTACTTAATAATTCCTTCGAAGTGTTGGGAGTTTATACTAAATGTCACGAATAGAATAGCAGTCAGACCTTGAATTGAATAAAAATTTTAGTAACAGATAGACTTGTAATGAATGAGAATTTTCGAAGATTATATACCTTCCTATTTCAGATTGGAAAACAGTTAAGCAGAAACCAGACAAGTGGACTAATATCATAACTGGAAGAGGCATGAATGTTTAAGAACGGAATCAAATAATGCCATCAACTGTAGACGTTTTCTTACGTGTTATCTGATTAATAAAATGTCAGCTCTACCAGAAATCATAGTATGTAGAATTCATAGTCTATTAACTGCTTCATTAAAATATTTGTAAGAAGTTATTACTCTTTGCACTGTTGTTTTAAATGATCATTAGCTAACTGTTTGTACTGTAAAACATCATTTGCTATTGCCAAAATGCGCTCTTCCACATTATCAAAGGAAGTATGCATTAATTGATCTTATAGCTGTAGTCCGGTTAGAAGCATAGTCACAGAGAAAATGTGTTTATTAACGTTTATTAATACCAATGAATTCCGCAGATGAAACAAGTGATGTTTACCGGTACGAGCAATTAATCATTATCTTATTTCGTACACAATCACACATTTGTGCTTCACTTATATACATATAGAAAGAATAATGAAGTAACTCTGCTGATATCTTATTCTTCGGAATCTGGAAAATTTGATTGCTTTCATATAAAAAAACTTGAATCTAAATTGATGTCGTATCAAAATTTCACTACGAAAGTACCACACCTTCTTTTCGATCCCTACAGCCCTAACATTGAGACAGCAATTATCTGAAGAAAGATTAAAAAACTGGTATGGCAACTTTTCCTATATTACCTCTAAATAATAATTATTTAAGATACATCTTAGGGGCTGCTTTTTTTTCATGCTTAAAGCACTGCTTCTATCACTGATTGGATGTTGCTAGTAGTGTGTGGTGGATCGATATTGGAACAATAAAGCATACGTGCCTATGCACACACGACTGATGAAGCATTTACACTGCTCAGAAATCATCGGACTATGCTGTTATTGTGGTCTGCCTCTTCTACATCAAACTAAATGCTTCTTTTATTCGTGAGAATTCTCCCTAATGTTTTGCCGCACTGTATTTTTAAATATCATATCTTCATAAACGAAAAAGCATTGAAGCTACAGATAGTACTTAGAAAGATTTTAATGGCACTAAGAAATAAGAGAGATATGAAGCTGATACAGTTAGGAATTGAGGCATATGATATCAACATGAAATCTCAATTTTTTATAACCCAACAAAAACCTTCCAGAATGTAATAGAGACAGATCATCAGGTCCAAACATAAGATGGCTCTACATATCTGATAAGAGTTATTTTAAGTACTATTTATTTCCTAAAGACTTTTATAGTCAGGTCTATTAAAATGAGGAATTAGACAAAAAGATTAGAACGAGAGAAGAGACTGAATCTAGTCTATAACCTTTATGTGAAAAAAAGTTGGAGATTTTCATGTAAGTGAGATTGAGGTAAATGGACTGAACGAAATGAGTAGATACTACAGACAGTGGTAGAAATACATCCACTTAGAAACAATGGAAATAAGAACCTTTGCAATGCCGCAAACCAGATGAGCATGGTGTTGTTGTTCAATTTTATTGATCAGTGTCGGAAAATCGCGCATTTCTTCAATAGACGGATAGAAAACAGGCACTTCAATGGTACCAGTGGGTGCAAACGATGGGTGATGCTGATTGTGGGCAGAGGTACTAGCGGTAGATGTATCCATGATTTGCGTCGTAAAAATCTGAAATTGGTAACAATCTTACGTTTAGAGGGAATTTTCAGTGTTTGACCACCTCACACTTCTAGTTTTGAAGCTAATCTCAAGTGACGACAGAACTACATGTTACAACGTATCGTTCGTTCAATTTGTTTAAATACAAAAGATGGATAATTTGGATCGTATATATTCGCTACTATCCAGTGATACTTCTTGAGTTTCTTGAAGGCATCAAATCATATTTCATGAAAGCAGACAACAAGAAAGTGTTCCATCCTCCAAACAAGTCATTTGATTAGTTTTGGATCTTGATCATAGGTTACTTGCGTTTCTAAGAAGTTTGCAATATGCAGCATCGATACTTTATCATTACATGATTTTAATGCGTAATTCTACCATTTATTACTAACGTCCCCAACATTCGTTAATGCATAATAAGCCCCTAACATTCCGTACATATAGACTCTTTGACCTTTTATCTGTATCTTAATAAAAACAATACTTCACTTTTGTGTGAATAGTTTTTCTTACACAAATTTATTTAAAGAATTTGAAACATTTTTCTAATTGTAGTACAGCATACAATCGAACATCACTGCTAAGGACGAAAAAAAAAAATCATCGATTCTTAAGAAGTAGCGAAAGTGGTTTTTCAACCGACTGAATTGCATTTTTCACTTGTTTCCTTCAATCTCTTTATTCGAATTTACACTTAATCAACTTATTAAAAGGTAAAATCATTCAACAGTGTAAGAAAATTCGATAAATAAGGAGAAACTTTGTAAGAAGAATATGATTCCTTTACCAGTAATCTTATCTATTTGATTATTTAGAAAAAAAAAATAGTACTTCCGAAAAAATTAGCCTAATCAAAAAAAAAAATACCGACTTAATCTGATTCGATTAATGACAGATGAGCACCATCCATGGAACTCGAAGCTCAAGTGAAACAAAACTAATAACGATAATACTGTGCAACTATCCTGCATACAAACTGTATAATGTTTAAATTACATCTCCTCAGCTACATAATTGTAGCGACACTAGGAAGTTTGATACTTTGAAAAACAGATTTTAAGCTTCACAACTTCATAAATTACAAATTTATTCCCTGATATCCTAAGATAAGTTTTTCAAAAAAAATATAAAGTTAATCTCATAAAAAGAAAACTCCCCAACTATCAAGTTAAGCTCAACCTCTGCCATATATGGACTCAAAAACTAATGCTGCCGCTCAGTCGAAGCAGAAACAAGAGGATCCCATAAAGTTGAAATACACAGAGAAGAAACCAATATAAAACAGAGGTAGCTGGTGATGCCGATAAACGGAAAACTGAATCTGAATAACGACCAACAGATAGCTAACCCTATCCCCTCGCCAAATTTGAATAATCCAATCAATAATCGTGACATTTGTCGAACGAAAATTTAATGAAGAGGTAGGAGCAACCATCTACCTACCTTCAGTGAATCCCTCCCATCCCTAAAACTTCATCCTACTCTTCACTGACGAGTATGGATCACTCAACAACATCCAGCACCCGACGTCAACCGAACAGAACACGAAACTAATGCAGTTCGAAATAACCACCACGTACAGAGTGCCGTAAGTTGAATTCTATCACTCGGACACTACTCGCTACGCGCTATGCAACCATAATATCCTTCCTGTTAATCTTACCGCCTTATAACATCCATGAACTCTCCACCCTCATTCGAGGTTTCACACTATGCACTGGTTGATCCGATCCAAGTACACTGCTTCGCTAGTCGTCAACAATGTAATTCCGAAACAATGAAGAATTTTACAGTATCTGTTTGAGCTACTTCATTCAATAACTTCGTGATCATTCGGATGCAATTAAAACAGTGTAGAATGACAAAAACAATGATTAAAATATACATTACTATAACAAAACTTATAAGCAACAACGAAATGTAACGAAAGTTCTTCGTTCCACTGCACCTCGCTATATCTCAATTTCATCGGAAACAAATCAAGTCATGAAATACAATATTATTTGCTATCATTATCTGCTTGTAAAGCATCGATAATCATTTGAGATATTTGACCCGTCAACTCCTCATTTTTGAGCCTTGCCTGTGTACTCATTGTTCTAGATATATTGTCTTCTTGAGGAATGAAATATCGTCTGGAATATTTCAAAAAATATAAAATTAATCAAAATAAGAATCATCAAGCTAAGTAGGCAGAGAGTGAAAATGTGGAAAAATGACTGCTGGAAAACATGCACTAAAGTCCTGTTTGGAAATAAATTTTTAACATCCAGAAATTCCTTAGATTTTTTACTTAAAATAAGGCAATATTTTACTTAAAAATAAGCAAAAATAGTCACAAATGCTCATCTCGCAATGAAATAAATTTCATTATAACCAGAAGTGGTACCTGGAAATACCATTCAATATAGCTTTATGCCAGTCTCCACCAGTTTGATAAGCTTCATGGAGAACTCGTACTACACTTGTAAAAGGAAGGAAATGAAAGTTGTAAAGTCTGTAAAGTTTTTAGAATTTATAAGTTTTGTTTACAGTCAAGCGATATAACATAAAATACCCAATAAATTCGAGACAAAAACAAACATTTTCCTCCATTGCTTTAATTCGCACTAAATCACAAAACTTATATAGATTCGCATGTCTAATATAGCCTATCATTATGATATCTCAAAATGCTTCGAAAAAAAGTGGATTAAAAACTTTGAGTGAGTTAATTAACACTAATTAAAGCATACTTAAAGTGCTCGTTAAATGGTATACGCGCTGTACGGCAACCGCGCTTTCGAGCAGCACCAAGAGGCAACCGATTGTCACGGCCTAAACATATCACATAAACTTCATCATTTAGTGGAGCTTGTATTACTTGCTGAGACCACCTGAAAATTATTCGTCATTGTAATGCATGCAAAAACATTATTGCTATCTATTATTTTCTGTTGTTTTAAAACTTCTATCTCTTGAATCCAGAAAAAATTAAACAGCAATGAAAAGATCATATAAGCTATATACTTCGCAACATAAATGATATTTTCTTTGTTGTATAGACCAATTACATCTTCGTTTGTATACAGTGGCATAATTGTCTGATGAGAATACTGAGTCTTGAGAAATCTAAAAAATTTGCTATTCTTTAAATTTAGAAATTGCATTTTCATCTCTCTCTACAGGGCAAAAACTTACTTCGTGACAGCCTCACAGTTCGGATTGTTTTCATCGTAGTTGACAATTGACAAATCAAATGGTTCTCGTCGTCGAAGATTTTCCTGATATCATTAACAGATACATTTAAAAAAACCAAGTTTTTCATATTTATTGTCAAAATCATCTAAAACTGAAACCTCTCTTTTTCCCTGAAACTGCACTACAAAAAAAATTACATATTCAAGTTTTATTACTAAAATGTTTCGAAAATTTACTTGTATAATGTATTCTAGTTGCGTAGCAAGACGAGACGAAAAGTCATCGAATTTTTTAGCAATAAACTGACAGTCCAAGACGATTCGTGGTTTTTCGTTCAGCCGTAAAGTCCTCCACATCGCAGCACCTTCGACATGCTTAATTCCTGTACTGACATACTATCAATTATCAATAGTGGCTTTTTTATTAAAGAGATTAAAGAAGATTTCGACTAGAGCTTGACCAGTTAATTGTTATGTCCTTTTTGGTGAAAACTACGCAGAGCATCACAATGTAGAATCTTCTTAATGCCAACCACACTGTACGGAGGACATTTTAGAACATTAGAAATCACTTCCACCAAAAAAAAAAAAAAAAAAAAAAGGAAAAAAAAAACTTTCACTAGCAATTTCTTAGGAACCAAGAGTATTATAAAGATAATGTAACCATTCATTACGTAAGAAACTTTCTCATATTTGCCAAATAGGCAAGAACTATAAAATCTATTGCGAAATTAAATTCCAACTTACTTCTTGCATTGCGTTCCAGATTAGAAGTTACCAATTCATACATCATTGGACCATAGCCCATCGCACCAGCATCAAACTTGGCACGCTGTAATCAGAAACTTCGGTAAAAAAAAAACTGGAAATAATCTTCTTAATGCAATAAAATTGGAAACAAAACTCGAGCAATAACTAAGTTTCTATATTAATGCCTTTTTGCCTCTTATAATAATGGAAGGCTTCATTTACAAATTTTTATAACAACCTATCTCGTCCTTTCGACTACGTCATTATCGGTGATTTCCATCTTTTTTTTTTTTTTGTTTATCATTTTCACAAGTTCCACTTCTCTCATATAAATTTTTTTCTCTTGCTTTCCGCCTCACATTTGCACCTCATACATGACTCCCTCCTATCCTACTTGTAAACTTCAGTACAAAATACCTGAAAATCGAGTAGTGCACCTCGAGATTTCAAGATCGCCTTTTTTTTAGCTTCACGCATTTCATCGCGAAAGATGTGCTTTGCGTATGCTCGCAAATAGGCTACTCGATCTTCCGTTTTCTTTATTGTCATTAACTTTTGCCACTGTTTATCTCGCAGAATAGATGGTGGATGTGGCATCATCCATTCCATTATCTAACATGAAATTTGAATAGATTGGACTTTTACTTATTCCATAAAAAATTTGATTATTAGAGAGGAAAATAGAAACCAGGAAAAAACTAGCCCAAAGACGAAATTACTTCAACTTCTGCCACTATTTCATCAAGAAACTGACGAGAGTTTGAGTCTAATGATGATAAAAACTCTGGTGATGGCCTCAGTTTTGCTTTTCCTTCATCTTTCAGCACATCATTACCGGCTGTAGAAAATCTTCTGCTAGAGCAAACATAAGTCGAGCAGGATGGACGGGAAATAACAAACGTTGCAAAGCTGTAAAAAATATGAATAGTATCTTAAGAATAACGAAAGAAGAATAAAGCAATATGTACGTGCTAGTTTAACTACTTGAGGTGATGCAGAGTTTGAAATTATTAAAGCATCACACGCCTTCTTAATGAATATGGACATTTGTAAATAATATTAATAATAAAATAATAATAAATAAACGTGGATAATAATAAAAACGTGAATAATATTACCGCTGGATGAATCCCAGACTTGACTTTCCACTCCAAGCAAAAGGAATTTGTCCATTCCTGAAAAGAAACTGATTCATCCGGACTTCCGATGTCGAAAGTACCCGCGAGTTTACTACGGTGCAGTAGACTCTAGCAGCACAATATCGCAATGTATCCAAACACTATGCTAAATCTCAACTCTCAGTTTCTACTCCAGCTGTCATTCGCTAGAACCCTCAGTGTCAGCAGCATGCTTCCTTGCAAATTCTGGCAATCCCTGCCGTATCGTGGTTTCATATACTATTTTCATTTCCATTCCACTGTCATCTATTCTGATTAAGACTCTATTTTCGTGCCAATTTGTCAAACTGAGTTCATCTTTGTAACAGTAGTGCAGTACCTAAGAGAGTTAGGTTGTTTTATGGTTTCATATGGAAGACAAAAGATTAAGGAGTTAATGTATTGCAAGCTAAAATTTCCCACTTTTTCTCTTTCTTTTTTATTTTGGGAACTTCTGCCCTTCACTAGACGATAACCATAAAATAGAAGCATTTCATTTTACAGTTCATAACTTCACTATTCCTCTTTTAGGCTTTAGTAGTGGTCAGCAGCATTTTATGGTTAAAATTGATTATGAATTTTAATTTTACTCGAATAGAGAGATTAGAAATCTTCAGAACAACCTTCATTTCATGTGCAACTTGAAGTTCAAGTTCTCATTTTCAGGAGAACTGAGAAGAGATAAATTTTAAGCCACTTTCACTTTCAGAAACTTCACTATCATTGGCTGCCATCTATTCGCTCGCACAAACTTATAATCTGAAATATCTCTTCGCATTTTAAAGTTAATGCATTTGTAAAGAAACTGTAGTGTAACAATTGAAATTAATTTGGCGCTTGGTTTCTGTAACGACAAGTATATTTTGTATTGATTTATGCAAGTTAAATATGTTAAATATAGAATAATTTTCAATAGTCTAAATTTCAGGAGGGCTGTTTCAAAAATTCCGAAAGATTTTCATTCAATATTTAAAGATTAAAGAATTTCAACATTATCGCTGCCAACACTTTGCTGAAATTGTTCCAAACACTTTACTGTGTTTGAAACAGTTTCAGGAAAGAAAACGCGGTAAGTCGGATGAAAGACCAATTATTGGAGATTCGAAGGTGAAATCGTTGGAATTTATTTCATTTTCCATTTTCCATCCCATTTTTCCAGCGAAGAGGCTCTTAAGACTGTTTTGAGACGTCAGATTGATGAATGGAACATCAACATGGACTGAAATATGAAATGAGGTCCAATATTTTAGATACCTATTTATCACGGATCACTGATCATATCATTTAAAAAAGAATGACAATAACGTAAGCGATGTTAGTGTATTTCCCGTCAGATTTATTAATGGAAAGGACATTTCGCTTTCTTTTTTCGGTCTAAATCCAAATGTGCGTGAAGCTCTGTTTTTTGATTCTGACTTTTGATCTTCTGACAGAAATTTGATTAACCAATACCAATCTCTAAATGCTCCATCAATTGCAAAATTCAACTGAAAATTCTTAAATTAGCAAAAAGTAAGCTGCAGTAAATATTCTGCGTCCACAAGCCTACTCTGGAGCACAATGAAATTCATAGTCTTAGTGAAATTGACATTATTTTCAAGTTCTATGTTTGTGGGACGTAATGCAGATGCTTCCCCATTGACAGGGGTCATTGAAATTTCCTAATACCATACACGCAATACATCACTCTACTCCATTGTTGTGTGGCGCATGCTAAGCTTTGTTTCTTTAGAAATGAATGGTGTAATGTCTCTTTCCTTTTCTCTAATCAGTGGTTGTAATCCTATTAATACGTACATGTACATACTATAGTGATATATTCAATAGCATTTATACTCTTTTAGACTTAACGGTAGATTCCTTGAAGGATTACTTATGTCAAATGCGAAAAGAGGAGAAATGAGTACCACAGATGTCGATGTAAATGCTAGGATCTTACCGGCTATTGAAAGTGAAGAAGAAAGCAGCGATTCCGATAGAGAGGTAATTTCATCGATTTAGTTCTTGGGAGCAATATTAACGAGGGATTTCTAGGATGATAAGTCTTACTTCAGTTTTTGGAAAATTTTTTGTTCCTTTAAATAAATTGCCAGTCTTTCATATCCAGCAATATTCATTGCTCTTTAATTTCGAAAATTTTCGATGATTTGGAGCAGGAATTAGTTCGAGGATATTCTGCTATTTTCTCAATACGGTTTTTTAATTACAGTTACAAATCGCATTCGATGAAGGTCTGCTGAAGACTGACAAGCTGAATTATATTGTGGAAAAAAAGAGACCGATAATAAATAAAAAAGTATGATGTTTGACTCATTAAGTAAACTGGATCGAGCTAATAATGATGAATTCTTTTATATCATCCACTTGAATTTGTTGTTCTTCTAATGTCTTTTTGATGCAGGAAATCATGATTCACATTGTATCTTGCATACTAGTTTTTCTATTTGAAGGCTGAGTTGGAAGATAAAATTAAAAAACTGGCGATGAATTTGGCATGGTTAGAAACGCTAGATGTGGAAGTAAATAATGACCATCTCAATGAGAAAGTACTCAGTGACGATTTCGAACGTGAGATAATTTTGTAAGTTATTTTGTATCTTTTCTGCGTTTTACTATAAGTAATTCATTTTAAATACTGGATGTTTCTGAATTGTAATGTCAAGTCTTAATAACGTAGATAACTTGTTATAGTTACAAGCAGGCTGAAAAAGCAGCACAAATAGCAATATCGCGACTGCGGGAAATGGGTGTAAGGATTTTTCGACCGACAGATTATTATGCCGAAATGGTAAAAAGTGATCAACATATGCAGAAGGCAAATTTATTTTTTTGCATTGAATTCTGATTTTTTTTTTCTTTTGATTAATGTTCTGATTTACCGAGGAACTTTTGGTGGAGTTAATAGTTCTTGCTGTTTTCTTCATTTCATTATTCATACATGTACGCTATTATATTATTAGTTATGTTGTCATACCCTTTGTAGATAAGGCAGCGTATGGCAGAAATTGAAGAAAGTAAACAAAAACTGGAAGCAATTCGTAGAATTCGTGAGGAAAAAAAGTTTGCAGCTAAGGTGCAAAAGAAGGCTGGTTTCATCAGTTGTTTCGTAATTAGAATTGTGGTTGGGCTCATAATTTGGCCATGTTTTTTCCTGCTTTACAATAGAGTTCGTGTATTTTACTTATTAATTCAGGTAATAGAAAGAAAACAGAGTGAAAAAAAGATTTTGGCAGAAGCAGTGAAGAAACATCGAAAGGGCGTAAAGTCGCATCTGGATGCCATGCTAAATAATACAAGAAGAATACAGGATACTGAGGTTTTTCATTTCTACTATCAAGTTTTTGCAATAATGCTTGAATTTCCATAAAATCAGATTGCCATCTGAATTATGGCTTATATCAGGCAGTTTTCAAAGTTTTTATTTCTCATTGCAAGAAAAAGGTGGTTTTCAGGTTGGAATAAAGAGGTCAGAGAAAGGAAGAATGCGCGAAAAGAGATTTCGTCGAATAGCCCGTGATAAAAAGTTCGGCTTCGGCGGACAAAAAAAGAGATCTAAGAAAAATAATAAAAATAGGTAGTAAATTCTTTAACATTTTTGGCCATTTTATGCTTTATGTTTTAATGAAATCATAAATGAATAAAAAAAGAAATATAAGGATGAAGTGTTTACAAATGCATGATTTTTTTTTAGTTTTGAAGAATTTGCGACACCTGGGAGTCTAGCTCGTAGGCTCAAAGGACATCATTTTGGCGCACATGTGTTGAAAAGTCATGCAAAGGCGAGAAAAAGATGATCTTCATGTTGTTTTGTGTCTAAACTGAAAAAAAAAGATGCAACGTGTGTCGTTTACTTGACTTTAAACACAAACAAAACTATAGGAATTTCTTGTAGAGTCATAATTTTATTAAATGTTTTACAGTGACTTTTTCTGTTTATCCTTTCTCGTAGCTTTTCAGATTTTTTTATGAACTCTGAATAAAATTATTGCTTCTAAACGGTTTTGATGATAGTTTGTTAAGATTGGAATTATTGTTACTTGTACTTTTTGCTTTTATTTTTGTCAGTGGATAAACACTCTATAAATCCTTTCTTTTTTTTTTTGCGAAGTATAAACGTCTGAGACAGATATTTGAAAAAATTCTTGGTTTAAAGGAACAGAAACTTTTTTTTAAAACTTTTATTAATACTGTGGTAGTTTACAGCTTGGGACAAAGTAGGATTTTACAAATTTGAAAGCCTGGTATTCATTTATTCTCAGGATATTAAACATTTATAAAACTTGTTTAGTTGACCTGATGTTGATCCGATGGCAGTTACAAGATAGCAATAAAATGAATGTTTTCTCAACTGCTTGATGATGGTTTTATTGAATTTCTTATGGGGATATATTACATTTATGGTTCTTTTTTCCGTAACATTTGGTAGCTTATTATATGCTAAAACGACGAATACGAGGTACTAGGTAAGTTTGGCGGATATCTTTTTTTTTTACAAAAGAATAAGAAATGATTATTTCTGCATAACTATCTCAAATATTGTGCTATGACATGGAGACGAATATTTAGTGAAGATTAAGGTACATACAAAAAATTTTATATCAGTGCCTTCAAACATATGTAAACAAATTCATGGTGCTGAAAGTAAATATCGCTGATGAAGCTTATTGACTACAAACGAGGTAGCCGGAAGTGACACATTTAATAGTGAGGTTTTTACTTGCTTTTGAAGTTTCCCATTTAGAAATGGCTGATCTCTAATTATTCTTTTTGTAATATCTGCATTTTTGCTTGTACAAACTCAACTGCTTATTTTGCCGCCTTAGATTATTTTGAGATTTGATTTTTCGTGTTCATTAAATTGCAAAGCTCTGCAGAAAAGCTGATCTTGCCGTTTCGTTGGGCAATTGTTTTGCTTCTGGTATATTTTGTCGTCATGTTTCCTTAGCCTCTTGCCACACATTCGAAAACATGAAGAACATATTCGGAATATGTGGATCTCGACAGTTGGTCACACCGATTCATCTTCATATATATTTTTAAATTCGGAATTGGTTGTCTTAATGAGCTTTCTTCTAGTACTTTCCCTTGAAGAGGTAGGTTCAATTTTTGAAGTATTATTTCTATATTTTTTGATGCCCTTAACAAAAGTGCTCATTTTTGTATACTTACAAAACATTTGTTTTTACTGAGAATAAGCAACTAGTCAGTAGCGTCAATAAATGAATATTTCCGTACCTCTAATTCATGCTGTTTTTGTTTGTTGTCGAAGTAGTCTTCATCGGATGAAATTACATTCATGTTAGATAATTTGGACAGTTTGTGATTGTCAGCGATAATTCTAATTTAAGTCAGAGTGTTAATAAATACTTGCATTTCTCAGTAATATTAGTTGTACTATATATAAATTCGTCAACTTAGATCATGTATTTCACAAATCTGACTCTAGCGGAATGTAGGATCAAATGAAACGCATATCAGCGAGTGGTCGATCTTCTAAAAATATATCTTCTATGTGTAATGACAGTTTGATGACTTTAATAAGGTGGGATGAGGATGCTGAGTTGTTTATCACAGATAATCCTAGCATCGAAGGTTTTACTGTTCAAACGGATTTCGGCAGTTCAGTAATGAGGTCCACTTTTCTCTCATGACACATTATCAGCAAATAAAGTTTCTGGAGACATGCTGAGATAGAAGCCATGAGGGATAGTGCATCTTTTGCAGGCAACTGCAATCCTGCACCTTTCAAATCTATTTTTCTTTTTTCAAAATTTAATAATTTTGTAAGGAAAATACCACAATGTTTTATATTTTCTCAAGAAAAACTATTGATTGATTCTGCATATAAGTCTGCTCTGTCAACTTCTAATGGAAGACATCTTTCTCTCCGGATTTTGATTAGTTTTTCCTGAATCAAAAATATGTTGGTAAAGATGTTTGGATTGTTAATTATATATTTAAGTTCAATTTATTTTTGTCATAATTACGACTTAAATATGTGTAAGTTGTCACTTAAATATATATTTAAATTCTTTTTTTTGTTATGTGTAACATAGTTTTAAATATAAACGGTGTAATGCTTTGGATTAATTGCTAATTACTACAAAATTTGGTTTCAGAATTTATTTGCAGCTATTTTGAACCGAGTTCTACAGTCTGTTAACTGCTGTTATGATCCACGAAGTACTATGTTCATTTGGGTTAGGTGTTAGCTTAGCGCAACAAAAGACTACTGCAGAAAGAACATTCATATCATCATTGATACTTGCAAGTGGCATTCCGATGGGAATGTCATCATCTATTCTAGTAAGTTTCACATTCAAAGAATTGAATTATTTAGATTTGCTTTTGTCTTTTTTTGTCAGGTGAATGGCATAAGAGGGACTTTTTTTAATTCGGAAGCTTAATTGAAAATTTAGAGCTGCAGGACAAATTTGAAGTAAATTATAATGGTAATATGAAAAATCATATTTATCAAAGCTATCAAAACTAATCTTTAATTAGAGGAAGATCTGTCATAAGTTTGAAGTGATGGAACTGTATGACAGATGCATCACTATATGAATCATCACCGTATGCTCTCTAAAAAAGGTATTATACCAGCTTTCTACAGTTTTCGTTTCTTTGTTTGTATTCGATCACTTAAAAAAAAAAAAAAAAAGAAAAAGTACTGTTCTCAGATAAATTCCATAGAAACGTTCACACTATACTGCTGATTCGATTTGTGTTAGAAGGATTCGCAGCTGGAGCTTTCATTTATGTTGCATGTGTGGAAATATTAAATTCCGAAATGAGTGTTCATAATCATGGTACCAGACAAGGCCTATTTAAAGCATTGGCTGTAATTATTAGTTTATTTACATTCTTCTTTGTTAACATTATTTTCGGACAACGCTTGCATTATTCACTTCGTTATTTCAACATACTATAATCGAAATGATTTCGGTAATGCCTTCTTTGAAAATTGCCCATTAATCGAGCTTTAGTATTTTTCAAGGAAATTTTTTGATTGTGGCTTATTTCTGCCCTAGGCTGTCCGGCTAGCTACATTGAAGAGGGAACATTAGATCGAAGCTTTGAAGCTTTTCGACATATCAGCATGTGTAAAAACAAATTTAATAATTCTTTCTTACTGCCCTGCTTCATTGCGAAATAAAGTAGTTTCTCTTTCTTGATAGTTCAGATCGTTGACTTCTTTGTCTTCAATACTAGTAGATTCTCGAATCTGTACTGGTTCTGTTCTGTGGGAGTTTTCGTGAAGTACTTTATTATTCAAACCTCAAATTTGGGTAATTAAACCATTAAAAATTATACAACATTACAATAACGAATTGATACACATAAATATAACTTAATTATAAAACATTTAAAGATATAAGCAAGCTAGACACTTCCTAACCAAGCCATACCAAAATAAGAAACTATAATGAGTCACTTTGTGAGGAAGAAAATTGGGAGGGATTTAATGGATGCTAAAGTTACAAAATAGATTAAAATGACTCAAAACAATAGTCTCTGTTCACTACGTTATAGCTTCGCCATTGTGGCGACAGCATGTCTCCTTCAGCAAGGAGCAGTTCGATTTTTATTAATTGTTATAATTCTTATCTGCACAACTTCTCGTGATACAGTGATCATTTCCTTATTTATGTGAGTTTTTATATGTACTTCATCACCTAAAGCAATCAGAAAATGATGTTGCGAGACTGTTTACTTGATATAATAGGATTAAAAAATGAGATATTCTGGTAGTCTGAAGTTTTGGATGAGATTTTCAATTTTCCCTTAATTTTAGACTTTGAAATCAGGTCTCCGATAAGTTACTTTATAAAATTTTGCACATAAACTGTTTTTTAACGTTTAGTTTCTATTAGTGAAAAATGATCTCGTAGTGACTTTTCTGAACCGCTTAAATTTGCATATGGCATAATGTACTAGTACGATTTTGGTTGTAATCTCAATAGATTCTCGAAACTTTAATTCTGCAGTTTTCTTTTTAGTTTTGATTTAGTTTTCATAATCTTTTACATTGCACATCTGAAAAAAACTCCATTAAACTTTTTGTGTATTGCTGTTTACTGTTATTTGTTACTGGTGAATACTGCATTTAACCTAATTTAACCGAAGTTGTATATAATGAACGGTATTGAACGCATACTTGGCAACGTAAAAAATACAACATGTAATTCTCCATCTTTGACACTACTGAATCTTTATCATAATTCTTTTTTTTAAAACTGTTGAGATAAAAGGATGAATTATTTTACATATTCCAGTTCTCATTTTTCGTATTGTTTGCAATATTCTTCGGATATTTCTTTTATTATGTACTATTTGATTTTTTGCTCTATCGCTGATTATCAGCGCACTGAATATTCATAGCTTTATCATATGATGTTCAAATGAATATTTCGTCGCAAATTAATTGCATCAGAATTTATGACTAGAAATCATGCATTGCACATAAAACTTTACAGAGTCCTCCTATTGATGAGTGTGTCTGCTTTTGAGAAGATAATCCGAGTACGGAGTGTTGATTTGGCAGTGCTCGATGAAAGTGCTTATTATGAAGCTATTTATGTCGGTAGCAGGTGAATATTGTAGAGAATTATAAATGGAAGTTGTTTTTGGATCTTGTTATCTTTATCTAGAATATTTCAGTGTACCAAATCGAAGATTCTATGCAATAGAATCGCCGTTTCGAATGAATTCGCAAGTTTCACCTGGAGAAGGTTCTGTTACAGACAAAAATAAGTCGAGGCGGAGACGAAAGCATGGCGTATCTTCGAATATC